ATTGATCACAACTTTACTAATGCTGAAGAAATATGCTTTAAAGCAGTATCCAAATCCATTGGATTTAGTGATCACAATATAGTAGCCATATCTAGGAAAACCAAAGTTCCAAAGGCTGGGCCTAATATAGTGTATAAGAGGTCATACAATACGTTTTGTAGTGATTCCTATGTTGTTGATGTAAATAATATTTGTTGGTCTGTGGTGTGTAATGAGGAGCAACCAGACGCTGCACTTGACACATTTATGAAATTGCTTATTCCAGTTACTAATAAGCATGCACCTATTACGAAAATGACTGTAAAAACGGTTAAATCCCTTTGGATTGATGAGGAATTTAAAAAGTGTATGGTTGAGAGGGATGAGGCAAAAGTATTGGCAAATAAGTCTGGCTGCACAACCGATTGGCAAACGTACTGCAAATTGAGAAATCATGTGACTAAACTGAATAAAAAGAAGAAGAAACTATACTATGAAACAAAGATAAATGACATAAAGAATTATAGTAAAAAGCTTTGGAGCACCTTCAATTACATTTTGGGCAAAAAGGCAAACTCAGCTCCATCATTCATTGAATCAGATGGCTCATTCATCACAAAACCCATTGATATTGCCAATTACTTTAATGATTTTTTCATTGGCAAGATTAGCATTCTTAGGTATGATATGCCAGCAACAAACGCTGACACTACACATCCAATTGTATCTGACCAAATTATGAAAGACTAGAATTGTAATTTTTAAATTCCTTAAAGTGAGTGTGGAAGAAGTGAAAAACACACACTAAATGTATTGGGTAATGTTGTGTAATATCGTATATAACTGCCTTAATGTTGCTGGACCCCAGGAAGAGTAGCTGCTGCCTTGGCAGGAACTAATGGGGATCCTTAATAAACCCAAGGAAGAGTAGCTGCTGCCTTGGCAGGAACTAATGGGGATCCATAATAAACCCAAGGAAGAGTAGCTGCTGCCTTGGCAGGAACTAATGGGGATCCATTATAAACCCAAGGAAGAGTAGCTGCTGCCTTGGCAGGAACTAATGGGGATCCATAATAAACCCCAGGAAGAGTAGCTGCTGCCTTGGCAGGAACTAATGGGGATCCATAATAAACCCCAGGAAGAGTAGCTGCTGCCTTGGCAGGAACTAATGGGGATCCATAATAAACCCCAGGAAGAGTAGCTGCTGCCTTGGCAGGAACTAATGGGGATCCATAATAAACCCAAGGAAGAGTAGCTGCTGCCTTGGCAGGAACTAATGGGGATCCTTAATCAATAAAAATACAAAATATAGTATACAGACTTGGCTTATGTTGGCTAATGTTGGCTAATGAGACTGAGGTGAAGTAGCTCTCTCGCGGGTAACGTATCAATATTTATCCAAGCCACAATAGCTAGTGGAAGTCACTCACTCTCTCTCTCCCCAGAGAAGTGAGGGTGGAGTGTGTTAGTTTAGAGTCTGTCAGTGTGGCTCTAGGAGGGCACACACACACACAGTCACACACACACACACACACACACACACACACACACACACACACACACACACACACACACACAAGAAGTAACACTCTGATTAGATGGAGCTACATCATTGATTATTCAACCAGACATGTCTCATCACCCCGACCGATGCTCTCTCTCTCTCTCTCTCTCTCTCTCTCTCTCTCTCTCTCTCTCTCTCTCTCTCTCTCTCTCTCTCCTCTCTCTCTGGTCTCCTCTCCCCTCTCTCTCTCTCTCTCTCTCTCTCTCTCTCTGTCTCTCTCTCTCTCTCTCTCGTCAGTCAGTAGACAAAATACTTCCCTTAGTGGCTGATGCAGTGTGAATACATGAGCAGTCCTTTATTGTAGTTTAAACCCCTGTCAGCATAGAGACGTTATTATAACACAAACCTGCCCTTGTGTTGTTCAATCTAGCACCAGGCTGGATAATATGACAGTTTGAAATGTGAACAGATGACTGTGATGCTTGCTACCTTCCTTGTCAAGTTTATTCATGCTTATATGCTGAAACTGGGAAGTGCCAAGTGTTTTGTGTACTTTTTGAACATATAAAGAACCCACATGGCCCATGACAATTACATATTGTTAATATAAAGACTTGCAATATTATTGTTTGTAAGGGTCACTGGCTCATTTCAAATCCCCATCTTGCTGATTGGCTCCCAAAGACATCACCATGAAAGAACATCCAACAGCCTGATCATCTTATTGAATGGACTTATTTAATATGTATATTGTTAATGTGTGTGTAAATCCTTTTCTCTGTGATTATATACAGTGTGTTAATGTGTGTGTAAAACCTTTTCTCTGTGATTATATACAGTGTGTTAATGTGTGTGTAAAGCCTTTTCTCTGTGATTATATACAGTGTGTTAATGTGTGTGTAAATCATTTTCTCTGTGATTATATACAGTGTGTTAATGTTTGTGTAAAGCCTTTTCTCTGTGATTATATACAGTGTGTTAATGTTTGTGTAAAGCCTTTTCTCTGTGATTATATACAGTGTAGTAATGTTTGTGTAAATCCTTTTCTCTGTGATTATATACAGTGTGTTAATGTGTGTGTAAAGCCTTTTCTCTGTGATTATATACAGTGTGTTAATGTGTGTGTAAAGCCTTTTCTCTGTGATTATATACAGTGTGTTAATGTGTGTGTAACATATTCTATTCTAGGACTTGGTCCAGTGTGTGTTGCAGAGGGAGCTGGTACAGTACCGTTACTCTCCTGATTGGTTGGAATTGCTCATTAACTATTCCTCCTACTCTCTCTTTTTCTGTATCTCTCTCTATCCTTCTCTCTTCCTCTTTCTCTCTCTATCCTTCTCTCTTCCTCTTTCTCTCTCTATCCTTCTCTCTTCCTCTTTCTCTCTCTATCTCTCTAAAGCCACTCTCCTTTCAGAGGAGAGACGTTTGGTATGGAGGACAGAGAGAGACGTGCTAGAGAGATCATAGAAACAGACAGGATAGATACTGTATCTATCTCTATGATTTACACAGACAGAGCCTTGTCTCTCAGGACCTGGACTCTGATTGCAGTGTGACTCTAGCATATTAACCATTTGTTCTTTCCTCAACTCACCGTTACACAAGCATGAGTTTGTTTTTAAAGTGCTTTTTCTTTTGTGCTTTGTGTTCTTTCTTTTCCTGCTAACTAGACTACATTGGACTCCATGCAGGTACCAGCAACAACACACAGCCTCTGTTGTAATACTCTACCCAGATCCCAACCTCAACCACCCAGATCCCAACCTCAACCACCCCGTTCCCAACCTCAACCACCCCGTTCCCAACCTCAACCACCCCGTTCCCAACCTCAACCACCCCGTTCCCAACCTCAACCACCCCGCTCCCAACCTCAACCACCCAGATCCCAACCTCAACCACCCAGATCCCAACATCAACCACCCCGTTCCCAACCTCAACCACCCCGTTCCCAACCTCAACCACCCCGCTCCCAACCTCAACCACCCAGATCCCAACCTCAACCACCCAGATCCCAACATCAACCACCCCGTTCCCAACCTCAACCACCCCGTTCCCAACTTCAACCACCCAGATCCCAACCTCAACCACCCAGATCCCAACCTCAACCAGCCCATTCCCAACCTCAACCACCCAGATCCCAACCTCAACCACCCAGATCCCAACCTCAACCACCCCGTTCCCAACCTCAACCACCCAGATCCCAACCTCAGCCACCCCGTTCCCAACCTCAACCACCCAGATCCCAACCTCAACCACCCAGATCCCAACCTCAACCAGCCCGTTCCCAACCTCAACCACCCAGATCCCAACCTCAACCACCCAGATCCCAACCTCAACCACCCAGATCCCAACCACAACCACCCTGTTCCCAACCTCAGCCACCCCGTTCCCAACCTCAACCACCCAGATCCCAACCTCAACCACCCAGATCCCAACCTCAATCAGCCCGTTCCCAACCTCAACCACCCAGATCCCAACCTCAACCACCCAGATCCCAACCTCAACCACCCCGCTCCCAACCTCAACCAGCCCATTCCCAACCTCAACCACCCAGATCCCAACATCAACCACCCCGCTCCCAACCTCAACCACCCAGATCCCAACCTCAACTATCCCGTTCCCAACCTCAACCACCCAGATCCCAACCTCAACCACCCCGTTCCCAACCTCAACCACCCCGTTCCCAACATCAACCACCCCGTTCCCAACCTCAACCACCCCGTTCCCAACCTCAACCACCCCATTCCCAACCTCAACCACCCCGTTCCCAACCTCAACCACCCCGTACCCAACCTCAACCACCCAGTTCCCAACCTCAACCACCCCATTCCTAACCTCAACCACCCCGTTCCCAACCTCAACCACCCAGATTCCAACATCAACCACCCCGTTCCCAACCTCAACCACCCCGTTCCCGTTCCCAACCTCAACCACCCCATTCCCAACCTCAACCACCCAGTTCCCAATCTCAACCACCCAGTTCCCAACCTCAACCACCCCGTTCCCAACCTCAACCACCCCGTTCCCAACCTCAACCACCCAGATTCCAACATCAACCACCCCGTACCCAACATCAACCACCCCGTTCCCGTTCCCAACCTCAACCACCCCATTCCCAACCTCAACCACCCCGTTCCCAACCTCAACCACCCCGTTCCCAACCTCAACCACCCCGTTCCCAACCTCAACCACCCAGTTCCCAACCTCAACCACCCCGTTCCCAACCTCAACCACCCCGTTCCCAACCTCAACCACCCAGATCCCAACCTCAACCACCCAGATCCCAACCTCAACCACCCAGATCCCAATCTCACTCATCCTGTTCCCAACCCCCACCTTAAGCCTCAGTGGAGCTAGATATACTACTAGAACGTGTCTCTACAAAGCCATAGACACAAGGTGTCCTTGCAGCAAGTAGTGGCTCATTAGTTTGAGAATGAAGGACAAATGTAAATGTCACCGCCGGTGATACCCTGATGGTAGTTGTTTCTAGGGATGTATTTATGGAAAGGCAAAGATGGCCTATAATGTTGTAGCAGGCTTCGACTACAGGCTCCAGCCAGGTGACCGTGTGTCAGTGTACTGGACTGTGTGCCTTCTCCTACACATCTGTGTGTTTCAACCAGTTACACACAGGCCTAGTGGTAATTGTGTTCATTTTAAAGAATCCCTTTGTGTGGACACGGAGAGTCCCTCTGATTCCAGCTGGCCATCTGTGTGTGAGTGTATATTTGTATGTGTCCGTGTGTGTGTGTGTGTGTGTGTGCATGTCTGCGCGAGCAGTGTGTGTGTAGGCGATTAAAGTGTGTGTGAAACAAGTCGGGGCCGAGTGACGCTGCTGCTAGGTTAGAATGTGTCTATGCCACGGACTCCAGTCCCCCGCTGGGCTGAGCCACGGACTCCAGTCCCCCGCTGGGCTGAGCCACGGACTCCAGTCCCCCGCTGGGCTGAGCCACGGACTCCAGTCCCCCGCTGGGCTGAGCCACGGACTCCAGTCCCCCGCTGGGCTGAGCCACGGACTCCAGCCCCCCGCTGGGCTGAGCCACGGACTCCAGTCCCCCGCTGGGCTGAGCCACGGACTCCAGTCCCCCGCTGGGCTGAGCCACGGACTCCAGTCCCCCGCTGGGCTGAGCCACGGACTCCAGTCCCCCGCTGGGCTGAGTGCACGGAACCTTGCTCATAGGAGAATTGGCTTGGTACTTAAGCTCGAGGTGTTAAGATAGAGTTAGCCTACTTTCTTGGCAGTCGAGCTTTGACCCTGATATAGTGGGGCTTCTCTGTCTCTTCCCTCTCTCTCTCTCTTCCCCTCTCTATCTCTCCCTCTCTCCTCTCTCTCCTCCACCTCGTCCCCTCCGCCCAGACCCGCTCATCGAACCCTCCGCCCCAGTCCGTCGACTCCGCGCCCCCCCTCCCCCCCCCCCCGCCCTCCCCTGCTCACCGCCCCCTCGCCCTCACTACCCCCCCCTCCCCCACCCGCCCCTCCCGCCCCCCCGCCGCGCCCCCCCCGACCCACCCCACAAACCCGCAGCCCGCCGAGCGCTCGCCCCTACCCTCCCCTCTCCGCCCCTCCAGAGAGAGTACCGACTCCTCGAGAGCCTAAATACAGAGAAACCCCTATAGAGACCCCTCAGAGAAGACGCAGGACGAGGAGAGCGCAAGCGGCCAGTCCAGCCACCTCGAGATCACCGAGTCACTCCCGCCCCTCGCACCCAGCCGGGGAAAAAAAAGAGAAAAAGGGGCGGGGAAAAAAGGGGGGGGGAAAAAAAAAAAACCCCCCCCCCCCGGCCCCCCCCCCCCCCCCCCCCCCCCCCCCCCCCGGGCCCCCCCCCGAGGGGTTTTTTAAAAAACCCCCGGGGAGAGGGCAAAAAAAAAAAAAAAAAGCGGGGGAGGAGAAAAGGGGCGCGCTCTCCCCCCCCTCTCCCCTTTCCCCCCTTCCCCCTCTCCCTCCTCCTCCCCCTCTCCCTCCCCCCCTCTTCCCCCCCTCCCCCCCCCTCTCCCCTCCTCCCCCTTTTCCCCCCCTCTCCCCTCCCCCCTCCCCCCTCTCCCTCTCCCCCCCTCTTCCCCCCTTCCTCTTTTTTTTCCCCGGGGGGCCTCTCCTCCATTTCCAAAACCTCTCCTCCCTCTCTCTCTTCCCCTCTCTATCTCTCCTCTCTCCCTCTCTCCCTCCTCCCTCTCTCCCTCCCTCATCCCCGCTCCCTCTCTCTCTCTACTCTCCCCTCTCATGCTCTCTTCCTCCTTCCTTTAATCTCTTCCTCACTCTCCTCTCCTCTTTTTTCCCCCCCCCTCTCCTCCAAACAAACCGCCTCCCACCTTCCCCGACTCCTCTCCTCCCCCCCGGCTCTCTCCACCTCTCGTCCGCCCCCTCCCCCCCGCCCAGACACCGCACCCCCCCCCTCCAGCCCTCTCGGTCGCCCCCCGCACCTCCCGGCCGAGCCCGCCATCCACCCCCCCCACCCCTTCCTGGCGGGCGCCCGTACGACCCCACAAAAAAACCCCCCCTCCAAATAGGCCCCGTACCAACCTCTCCCACTTAGACGACCCCATCCCTCCGCCATTCATCCCTTACCAGCCGCAGCCACTCCCCTGCCACTCCCGCGCCAAGAACTCCGACCCCGCCACTCGCGCGCCCCTCACTCCCCGGAGAGCGGCCCGAGAGACACGTCGGCCTCCACGAAAGCCGTCCCTCTCTACTACCTCATATCGCCCCTCTCCTCCTCTCCCCTCCCTAGACTCTCCTTCCTCTCTCCCACTAGACGCCCTCAGCTCTCTCCCTCCCTCTCGCCTCCCTCCATCCCCTTCCTCACCCCTCCTCCCTCTCCCTCTCTATACAGTGAGGGAAAAAAGTATTTGATCCCCTGCTGATTTTGTACGTTTGCCCACTGACAAAGAAATGATCAGTCGATAATTTTAATGGTAGGTTTATTTGAACAGTGAGAGACAGAATAACAACAACAAAATCCAGAAAAACGCATGTCAAAAATGTTATAAATTGATTTGCATTTTAATGAGGGAAATAAGTATTTGACCCCCTCTCAATCAGAAAGATTTCTGGCTCCCAGGTGTCTTTTATACAGGTAACGAGCTGAGATTAGGAGCACACTCTTAAAGGGAGTGCTCCTAATCTCAGCGTGTTACCTGTATAAAAGACGCCTGTCCACAGAAGCAATCAATCAATCAGATTCCAAACTCTCCACCATGGCCAAGACCAAAGAGCTCTCCAATGATGTCAGGGACAAGATTGTAGACCTACACAAGGCTGGAATGGGCTACAAGACCATCGCCAAGCAGCTTGGTGAGAAGGTGACAACAGTTGGTGCAATTATTCGCAAATGGAAGAAACACAAAAGAACTGTCAATCTCCCTCGGCCTCGGGCTCCATGCAAGATCTCACCTCGTGGAGTTGCAATGATCATGAGAACGGTGAGGAATCAGCCCAGAACTACACGGGAGGATCTTGTCAATGATCTCAAGGCAGTTGGGACCATAGTCACCAAGAAAACAATTGGTAACACACTACGCCGTGAAGGACTGAAATCCTGCAGCGCCCGCAAGGTCCCCCTGCTCAAGAAAGCACATATACAGGGCCGTCTGAAGTTTAACAATGAACATCTGAATGATTCAGAGGAGAACTGGGTGAAAGTGTTGTGGTCAGATGAGACCAAAATTGAGCTCTTTGGCATCAACTCAACTCGCCGTGTTTGGAGGAGGAGAAATGCTGCCTATGACCCCAAGAACACCATCCCCACCGTCAAACATGGAGGTGGAAACATAATGCTTTGGGGGTGTTTTTCTGCTAAGGGGACAGGACAACTTAACCGCATCAAAGGGACGATGGACAGGGCCATGTACCGTCAAATCTTGGGTGAGAACCTCCTTCCCACAGCCAGGGCATTGAAAATGGGTCGTGGATGGGTATTCCAGCATGACAATTACCCAAAATACACGGCCAAGGCAACAAAGGAGTGGCTCAAGAAGAGGCACATTAAGGTCCTGGTGTGGCCTAGCCAGTCTCCAGACCTTAATCCCATAGAAAATCTGTGGAGGGAGCTGAAGGTTCGAGTTGCCAAACGTCAGCCTCGAAACCTTAATGACTTGGAGAAGATCTGCAAAGAGGAGTGGGACAAAATCCCTCCTGAGATGTGTGCAAACCTGGTGGCCAACTACAAGAAACGTCTGACCTCTGTGATTGCCAACAAGGGTTTTGCCACCAAGTACTAAGTCATGTTTTGCAGAGGGGTCAAATACTTATTTCCCTAATTAAAATGCAAATCAATTTATAGCATTTTTTACATGCATTTTTCTGGATTTTTTTGTTGTTATTCTGTCTCTCACTGTTCATATAAACCTACCATTAAAATTATACACTGATCATTTCTTTGTCAGTGGGCAAACGTACAAAATCAGCAGGGGATCAAATACTTTTTTCCCCTCACTCTCTCTCCCTCTCTCCTCCCTATCTCTCCCTCTCTCTATCTCTCCCTCTCTCTATATCTCCCTCTCTCCTGTCTATCTCTCCCTCTCTCATCTCTCTCTCTCCCTGTCTTTCTCTTCTCTCAAAGTATTTTAATCCAGTCTCAGTATTAGGAGCTGGCTCTCCTGTCAGAGGGAGTAGCTATAGTAACTATACTGTAGTACAGTGATCCCATAGTCAGCAAATCTCGTACGAGAATGTGAAGCCTATTTGCATTCTGTGTAATCAGTTAGTTGGATCTACTTGCTATCTGTCCCCCTTTGACTTGGTTCATGTTAGAGTTCTAGCAGACATTTGGTACACGCTTTGCTTGGTGTTGTAGGTGAGGTTTGACAGGAAGCTGTGTTCAGACAGGTGTGTGTGTGTGTCAGTGCTTGCGCTTGTGTCTGTGTTTCGTGTAGCTGCGGGCCCCAGTCACATCAGTACCAGGAAACACCCACCACAACCGGAAGCGAAACCAGCCACCTATAGAAACTCACTGGGGGCTGACGCTAAACACTAAACCCTGTAGGGTGTTCTGTAAACCCTGTAGAGCGTTCTGTAAACCCTGTAGAGCGTTCTGTAAACCCTGTAGAGCGTTCTGTAAACCTTGTAGAGCGTTCTGTAAACCCTGTAGAGCGTTCTGTAAACCTTGTAGAGCATTCTGTAAACCCTGTAGAGCATTCTGTAAACCCTGTAGAGCGTTCTGTAAACCCTGTAGAGCATTCTGTAAACCCTGTAGAGCGTTCTATAAACCCTGTAGAGCGTTCTGTAAACCCTGTAGAGCGTTCTATAAACCTTGTAGAGTGTTCTGTAAACCCTGTAGAGCGTTCTGTAAACCCTGTAGAGCGTTCTGTAAACCCTGTAGAGCGTTCTGTAAACCCTGTAGAGCGTTCTGTAAACCTTGTAGAGCGTTCTGTAAACCCTGTAGAGCGTTCTGTAAACCTTGTAGAGCATTCTGTAAACCCTGTAGAGCATTCTGTAAACCCTGTAGAGCGTTCTGTAAACCTTGTAGAGCGTTCTGTAAACCCTGTAGAGCGTTCTGTAAACCCTGTAGAGCGTTCTGTAAACCTTGTAGAGCGTTCTGTAAACCTTGTAGAGCATTCTGTAAACCCTGTAAGCGTTCTGTAAAACCCTGTAGAGCGTTCTGTAAAACCCTGTAGAGCGTTCTGTAAACCCTGTAGAGCGTTCTGTAAAACCTTGTAGAGCGTGTCTGTAAACCTTGTAGAGCGTTCTGTAAACCCTGTAGAGCGTCTTAAACACTGTAAGCGTCTTAAAACCCTGTAGAGCGTTCTGTAAAACCCTGTAGAGCGTTCTGTAAACCCTGTAGAGCGTTCTGTAAACCCTGTAGAGCGTTCTGTAAACCTTGTAGAGCGTTCTGTAAACCCTGTAGAGCGTTCTGTAAACCTTGTAGAGCGTTATGTAAACCCTGTAGAGCATTCTGTAAACCCTGTAGAGCATTCTGTAAACCCTGTAGAGCGTTCTGTAAACCTTGTAGAGCGTTCTGTAAACCCTGTAGAGCGTTCTGTAAACCCTGTAGAGCGTTCTGTAAACCCTATAGAGCGTTCTGTAAACCTTGTAGAGCGTTCTGTAAACCCTGTAGAGCGTTCTGTAAACCCTGTAGATCGTTCTGTAAACCCTGTAGAGCGTTCTGTAAACCCTGTAGATCGTTCTGTAAACCTTGTAGAGCGTTCTGTAAACCATGTAGAGCATTCTGTAAACCTTGTAGAGCGTTCTGTAAACCCTGTAGAGCGTTCTGTAAACCCTGTAGAGCGTTCTGTAAATCCTGTAGAGCGTTCTGTAAACCCTGTAGATCGTTCTGTAAACCCTGTAGAGCGTTCTGTAAACCCTGTAGAGCGTTCTGTAAACCCTGTAGAGCGTTCTGTAAACCCTGTAGAGCATTCTGTCAACCCTGTAGAGCGTTCTGTAAACCCTGTAGAGCGTTCTGTAAACATTGTAGAGCGTTCTGTAAACCCTGTAGAGCATTCTGTAAACCCTGTAGAGCATTCTGTAAACCATGTAGAGCGTTCTGTAAACCTTGTAGAGCGTTCTGTAAACCCTGTAGAGCATTCTGTAAACCCTGTAGAGCATTCTGTAAACCCTGTAGAGCGTTCTGTAAACCCTGTAGAGCATTCTGTAAACCTTGTAGAGCGTTCTGTAAACCCTGTAGAGCATTCTGTCAACCCTGTAGAGCGTTCTGTAAACCCTGTAGAGCGTTCTGTAAACCTTGTAGAGCGTTCTGTAAACCCTGTAGAGCGTTCTATAAACCCTGTAGAGCGTTCTGTAAACCCTGTAGAGCATTCTGTAAACCCTGTAGAGCGTTCTGTAAACCCTGTAGAGCGTTCTGTAACCCTGTAGAGCGTTCTGTAAACCCTGTAGACGTTCTGTAGAGCGTTCTGTAAACCCTGTAGAGCGTTCTGTAAACCCTGTAGAGCGTTCTGTAAACCCTGTAGAGCATTCTGTAAACCCTGTAGAGCGTTCTGTAAACCCTGTAGAGCGTTCTGTAAACCCTGTAGAGCGTTCTGTAAACCCTGTAGAGCATTCTGTAAACCCTGTAGAGCATTCTGTAAACCCTGTGTTCTGACTCAGCTGTGTCTCTGTAGTGGCTTTGCTAGAGTGACTGTGAGCGCTGCACAACTGTGTGTTGGAGGACATGCAATGCAACTCACTGCAAACTACACTAGCTACGCTTCAGATTCTGTTTGTCACCTTACCCATAAAGCCAACACCTCCTACTAAGGCCTTGAAACCTGTTACTCACCCTCCTTTTCCCGCCTTTTTTGTCTTTTAATTTTATCAAAAAATGATTGTAATTGTAAGTGAGTGTTTGTGCATGTTATAATCAGGGGTTGGAACTGGTTCCGGAAAATAACAAACATTTTCAAAGACCGAATCAGAACCGGAACGAAAGTGATCTATACTGTTCCAAAACAGAACCGTTATATTAAAAGCATGGGAACCGGTTAATAACATTTTTTAACGTTCCGGGAATTTTTCTTCAGTCCACACATTTTTTTTTTTATATAGGACCTATGCAAAACCCTTCCTCTGTCAATCCGAATCTTCTTCCAGTGTCTGCCTGCCAGCTGAACATCTTTACCAGTGTGTGTGCGTGTAGGTTACCTGACCCTCCCCCTCCGAAGCATAGCTGTAGCCCCTCCCCCTCCGAAGCATATCTGTAGCCTACTGACATTACAAGCGTGATTCAGAAGATAGGGAGATTGGTGAAGTAATTCAATGTCAAGCTAAATGTAAAAGAAAATATGTTTTTAGAGGTTTAAAAACTTGCTGGTCGGAACAGTGGAACGGAAAGAAAATAATAATGGTTCTGTTCAAATAATTTTGGTTCCAACCCCTGGTTATAATAAACAAGTTAACTTGTTGAAGTTGAGATTCTAGTAATATCATTTTGAAATTGTCAAAGTAGGCCACCACACAAATACATTAGCCTATGATCTTTCATTAGCCTCAGAGCTGAAACTAAACGCTCAGCGTGTGTGTGTCAACCTCTTATCTATCTATCTCACACTCTCTAGAGTAGAGCGAGAGCGAGAGTAGAGAGAGAGATATTCGAGAGAGAAGAGAGAAGATCTATCGATGCGTAACATAGGAAAGCTAGAGCGCCGCGTCACACTGTCGAGAGAGCGATAGTCGAGATCTAACTCTCGTCTCTCTCTATCTTCTCCTCTCTCGCTCTCTCTCTCTCTCTCTCTCTCTCTCTCTCACTCTATCTTGTATCCTCTCTCTCTCTCTATCTCTCTATATCATCTTCATCTCTCTGTCTCTCTCTTCTCTCTATCTCTATCTCCTCTCTCTGTCTCTCCTCTCGTCTCTCTCTATCTCTCTCCCTCTCTGTCTCTCTCTCTGTCTCTCTCTCTGTCTCCTTCTCTCTCTCTCTCTCTCTCTCTCTCTCTCTCTCTACCTCTCTCTTCTCTCTCTCTCTCTCTCTCTCTCTCTGTCTCTCTGTCTCTGTCTCTGTCTCTGTCTCTGTGCTCTTCAGTCTAAGGTGCGGGAGTTGGAAGATAAGTGTCGCAGCCAGAGTGAACAGTTTGGCCTTCTCAGCCATGAGCTGGAGGCCTTCAGACTGCACGCCGGCAAACTGGACCTGTCTGGCTCCGCCATCCTCACTAACCCCGCCCTCTCCCATCTGACCAACGGGGTGGGCCCCCCTGGAGGTAACCATAGCAACCACTATTACTGTCATGACACTATTACACGCCAATGGGCAATTGTTATTCCTGTGATATCGCCATAACTATTATTACCATAATTACACTATTACACGCCAATGGGCAACTGTTATTCCCATGATATCACCACAACTATTATAACCATATCATATTACCGTAATTACACTAATACATTCCTCATACTCACTCATATTCCCCTTATGAAATACTCTTCCCATCCCAATAAATGTATATCTTCATATGGCCTTTGTATACCCTGTTGGGCTCCTTTGAAATACTACTACCGAATCTCCCTCAGACACAGCTTACCCATATGGTCTATAGTTTGTACCAAGATTAATTTTACACTTGAAGATTGCTAAACTAACGTGTTTGTTCCAACTTGGAGCCAATAGCTAGGATTCCATACAATTAAATGATTCCATGATGGCTTTGAAAGGGTCACTTTGAAGCGTCTACGAATCTGACTGCAGACCAGTTGAGGACATATGTTATGTTTGTACATAGTGTTCACACGTGAGCTTGTAAAAGGTAGTCCTAAAGTGCTCCATGTAGCTAGGAGTATTATCAAATGCCATCGCCATGCAGTTGAAAGGGATCCACATTCATGCAGTCACTATGCAGACCTATAGACATCCTGCCCAGCTGCAAGATCCAGCCTATGACCAACCATCCATCCATCAATCCATCACCATCATCCATCCACCATCACCATCCATCCACATCCATCACAGCCACCATCCAGCCAGCATGCCATCAATATCCAGCCAGCCAGCCATCACATCATCAATCCATCCATCCATCCATCACATCCATCCATCCATCACATCACCATCCATCCATCCATCCATCCATCATCCATCCATATATCCATTCCATCCATCCATCCATCCACCATCCTATCCATCCATCCATCCATCCATCCATCCATCCATTCCCCATCCATGCGCAGTAGCTGTGCTGTTAGTGTTTTAGATCAAGGTGGCCCATGGGATGATATGAACTCTCTGGGTGATGTGGCCTTCTGGAGTCTGGAGGAGAGAGATACTCTCCCCTGTGACCCCTTTCTACCGTGTACTGGTATTGTTGGCTCATTGACTGTCCCTGTTACTGCTACCGTGAGCACTGTCACCCCCTGTTACTGCTACCGTGAGCACTGTCACCCCCTGTCCTGGTGAGCACTGTCACCCCCTGTCCTGGTGAGCACTGTCACCCCCTGTCCTGGTGAGCACTGTCACCCCCTGTCCTGGTGAGCACTGTCACCCCCTGTCCTGGTGAGCACTGTCACCCCCTGTCCTGGTCTTGTCTGGTACCTGAAGTCACTGTTAGTTCCATTCTAACGACCCACAAAATCACAGTCCGAATACCCATACTAGGGTACTACATACTTAAACAGCATACTTTACTCTACATACTTAAACAGCATACTTTACTCATCGTCACATACTATTTAGCACGTAGCGTTTAGTAAAAAGTATACAATATGCCACAGCCATCGGTACCGGCTCCTGACAGTAGGTGGGGCGGGGCCGAGTGCGGATGGCTTTTTTCCAAATTCAACATACATGCATCTCATTAACCAACCTGATAATAGCTCATTTCCAATTTGATTAATTTCTCTAAACTCTGAATAGAATAGGAATGGAGTCATAGGCCTACTGAGGCTGGTTATAGGCAGGCTATCACATTCTACCTACACCCTAGTACAGTGTTTCCCAATTCCCCAACATGAGGAGACATGAAATGTTATGTAGTTACGCTGCATCTCTATACAAAAACACTGTCCGACAGCTAGATCCGGGATTCTTACAGGGTTCAAGTTCAATGTCTAATTTAACTGATTAATGCTCTTCTACAGTGCATTCGGAAAGTATTCAGACCCCTTGACTTTTTCTGCATTTTGTTACATTACAGCCTTATTCTAAAATTGATTAAATCGTTTTTTTCCCTCATAAATCTACACACAAATACCCCATAATGACAAAGCAAAAACAGGTTTTTAGACATTTTTGTAAATGTATAAAAAAATCAAAAACTGAAATATTACATTTACATAAGTATTCAGACCCTTTACTCAGTACTTTGTTGAAGCACCTTTGGCAGCGATTACAGCCTAGAGTCTTCTTGGGTATGACACTACAAGCTTGGCACACCTGTATTTGGGGAGTTTCTCCCATTCTTCTCTGCAGATCCTCTCAAGCTCTGTCAGGTTGGATGGGGAGGGTCGCTGCACAGCTATTTTCAGGTCTTTTCAGAGAAGTTTGATCGTGTTTAAGTCCGGGCTCTGGCTGGGCCACTCAAGGACATTCAGAGACTTATCCCGAAGCTACTCCTGCGTTGTCTTGGCTGTGTGCTTAGGGTCGTTGTCCTGTTGGAAGGTAAACCTTCACCCCAGTCTGAGGTTCTGAGCTCTCTGGAGCAGGTTTTCATCAAGGATCTCTCTGTACTTTGCTCCATTCATCTTTCCCTTGATCCTGACTAGTCTACCAGTCCCTGCCGCTGAAAAACATCCCCCACAGCATGATGCTGACACCACCATGCTTCACGTAGGGATGGAGCCAGGTTTCCTCCAGACGTGACACTTGGCATTCAGGCCAAAGAGTTCAATCTTGGTTTCATCAGACCAGAGAATCTTTTTCTCACGGTCTGAGAGTCCTTTAGGTGCCTTTTGCCAAACTCTAAGCGGGCTGTCATGTGCCTTTTACTGAGGAGTGGCTTCTGTCTGGCCACTAACATGAAGGCCTGATTGGTGGAGTGCTGCAGCGATGGTTGTCCTTCTGGAAGGTTCTCCCATCTCCACAGAGGAACTCTGGAGCTCTGTCAGAATGACCATCGGGTTCTTGGTCACTTCCCTGACCAAGGCCCTTCTTCCCCGATTGCTCAGTTTGGCTGGGCGGCCAGCTCTTGGTAGTTCCAAACTTCTTCCATTGAAGAATGATGGAGGCCACTGTGTTCTTGGGGACCTTCAATGCTGCAGAAATGTTTTGGTACCCTTCCCCAGATCTGTTCCTCAACACAATCCTGTCTCGGAGCTCTCTACGGACAATTCCTTCGACCTCATGGCTTGGTTTTTGCTCTGACATGCACTGTCAACTGTGGGACCTTATATAGACAGGTGTGTTGCTTTCCAAATCATGTCCAATCAATTGAATTTACCACAGGTGGACTCCAATCAAGTTGTAGAAACAATTTGCAAAAATTTCTAAAATGCTGTTTTCGCTTTGTAATTATGGGGTATTGTGTGTAGATTGAGGATTTTTATTGATTTAATCAATTTTAGAATAAGGCTGTAACGTAACAAATGAGGAATAAGTGAAGGGGTCTGAAAACTTTCCAAATGCACTGTATATAAACCCTGGATTGCTGATGCTATGTATTGGCCAATGAGAGGCTTTGAAGCCACCGGTCAGCCATATTGTCACTCCCCAGTAGCAGCAGCCCTCCATAGGAATGAATGGGAATCTACAGTATTTCAATTAAATGTTTCAAGGACAAAAATTACATCTATTTAAGTATTTTGTTGTTGTTGTAGTGGGGACAGTAACATTAATAATCTCAAAAAATTATATTTCAAGGAAAATGTTTGTATATATTTTAGTCCTTTAAAAAAAAAAATGTTTAGTTCACATAATACATTTTAAAGTATGCACTAAGGTGTCTGTAATAGAATAAACGTGGAATAAATGCATTTCTGTAGCTTACAAAATATTTTTTATAACGGCGGGGGAGAGCCAAGATGGAGGCGCAGTGGCTTCAACACAGCACCCCCTATCAGTCACGTAGTGTATATATAAATCATTGGATGTGCCATGTACGGTGCTGTGCTTGGGGGTTGTGACCTCGAAGCACAGAGACAGATGGAGACAGGAGGGTTTTACTCCACTGTTTAATCAGCCAGGGATGACCTAGGCCCGCCTGCCTTCACCACCTTCACATCCTACTGGTCACCTAGCAGCCTGCGCACCCAACCACACACCAACCATCTAGCTAACTACAAACAGGAGACTGGGGTTAGATGGGAATATTTGTGGCCTGGTGTGACCAGCGGTCTAGGCCACTGCCTCCAGAACACATGTGCTGCTGCTCGCATGGGTTCCGATCCAACCCACTGCTCTTCTAGCACGCTCTCTCACCCTACCTTTCCTCTCACTCTGTCACTGTCCTACCTAATAAACGTGAAAAACCAGAAGAGGTGTATGTTTGCTCATGAAGTGTCTTCCTCCTCCTAGATGTGGCAGCAACTCTCCGGATGGGGGCCACCCCTCACGCTGCGGGTCTCACGCGCTCCCCCACCACCAAGCACCGTGAGCTGCCCACCATCAGCCTGACCAAGTCCTCCAGCACCCCCAAGTCTGCCTCTGACACCACCCACCTCTCCCCCAAATCAGCCGAGTCCCACCACAGCCCACGCAGGACCAGCCCCACGCCACACGAGGTGAGACCACCAGCAATGTTTCACATCATTCATTCACTACTCACTAGGGGAGAATCACTACTCACTAGGGATAATCACTACTCACTAGGGGAGAATCACTACTCACTAGGGAGAATCACTACTCACTAGGGAGAATCACTACTCACTAGGGGAGAATCACTACTCACTAGGGAGAATCACTACTCACTAGGGAGAATCACTACTCACTAGGGAGAATCACTACTCACTAGGGGAGAATCACTACTCACTAGGGAGAATCACTACTCACTAGGGAGAATCACTACTCACTAGGGGAGAATCACTACTCACTAGGGAGAATCACTACTCACTAGGGAGAATCACTACTCACTAGGGAGAATCACTACTCACTAGGGAGAATCACTACTCACTAGGGGAGAATCACTACTCACTAGGGAGAATAACTACCTCAACCTAGGGAGAATCACTACTCACTAGGGGGAGAATCACTACTCACTAGGGGAGAATCACTACTCACTAGGGAGAAATCACTACTCACTAGGGGAGAATCACTATCACTAGGGAGAATCACTACTCACTAGGGAGAATCACTACTCACTAGGGAGAATCACTACTCACTAGGGGAGAATCACTACTCACTAGGGAGAATCACTACTCACTAGGGAGAAATCACTACTCACTAGGGAGAATCACTACTCACTAGGGGAGAATCACTACTCCACTAGGGGAGGAATCACTACTCACTAGGGAGAGAATCACTACTCACTAGGGAGAATCACTACTCACTAGGGGAGAATCACTACTCACTAGGGAGGGAATCAACTACTCACTAGGGAGAAATCACTACTCACTAGGGGAGAATCACTACTCACTAGGGGAGAATCACTACTCACTAGGCGAATCACTACTCACTAGGGAGAATCACTACTCACTAGGGGAGAATCACTACTCACTAGGGGAGAATCACTACTCACTAGGGAGAATCACTACTCACTAGGGAGAATCACTACTCACTAGGGAGAATCACTACTCACTAGGGAGAATCACTACTCACTAGGGGAGAATCACTACTCACTAGGGGAGAATCACTACTCACTAGGGGAGAATCACTACTCACTAGGGAGAATCACTACTCACTAGGGAGAATCACTACTCACTAGGGGAGAATCACTACTCACTAGGGAGAATCACTACTCACTAGGGAGAAATCACTACTCACTAGGGAGAATCACTACTCACTAGGGAGAATCACTACTCACTAGGGAGAATCACTACTCACTAGGGGAGAATCACTACTCACTAGGGAGAATCACTACTCACTAGGGAGAATCACTACTCACTAGGGGAGAATCACTACTCACTAGGGGAGAATCACTACTCAACTAGGGAGAATCACTACTCATAGGGAGAATCACTACTCACTAGGGGAGAATCACTACTCACTAGGGAGAATCACTACTCACTAGGGAGAATCACTACTCACTAGGGGAGAATCCACTACTCACTAGGGGAGAATCACTACTACACTAGGGAGAAATCACTACTCACTAGGGAGAATCACTACTCACTAGGGGATAATCACTTACTCACTAGGGAGAATCACTACTCACTAGGGAGAATCACTACTCACTAGGAGAATCATACTCACTAGGGAGAATCACTACTCACTAGGGAGGAATCACTACTCATAGGGAGAATCACTACTCACTAGGGAGAATCACTACTCACTAGGGGAGAAATCACTACTCACTAGGGAGGAGAATCACTACTCACTAGGGGAGAATCACTACTCACTAGGGAGAATCACTACTCACTAGGGGAGATCACTACTCACTAGGGAGAATCACTACTCACTAGGGAGAACTCACTACTCACTAGGGAGAATCACTACTCACTAGGGGAGAATCACTACTCACTAGGGAGAATCACTACTCACTAGGGAGAATCAACTACTCACTAGGGGAAGATCACTACTCACTAGGGAGAATCACTACTCACTAAGGGAGAATCACTACTCACTAGGGAGAATCACTACTCACTAGGGGAGAATCACTACTCAATAGGGGAGAATCACTACTCACTAGGGAGAATCACTACTCACTAGGGAGAATCACTACTCACTAGGGAGAATCACTACTCACTAGGGGAGAATCACTACTCACTAGGGAGAATCACTACTCACTAGGGAGAATCACTACTCACTAGGGGAGAATCACTACTCACTAGGAGAATCCTACTCACTAGGGAGAATCACTACTCACTAGGGAGAATCACTACTCACTAGGGAGAATCACTACTCACTAGGGAGAATCACTACTCACTAGGGAGAATCACTACTCACTAGGGGAGAATCACTACTCACTAGGGAGAATCACTACCACTAGGGAGAATCACTACTCACTAGGGAGAATCACTACTCATAGGGGAGAATCACTACTCACTAGGGAGAATCACTACTCACTAGGGAGAATCATACTCACTAGGGAGATCACTACTCACTGGAGATCACTACTCACTAGGGAGAATCACTACTCACTAGGGGAGAATCACTACTCACTAGGGAGAATCACTACTCACTAGGGAGAATCACTACTCACTAGGGAGAATCACTATCACTAGGGGAGAATCACTACTCACTAGGGAGAATCACTACTCACTAGGGGAGAATCACTACTCACTAGGGGAGAATCACTAATCACTAGGGAGAATCAACTCAATAGGAATCACTACTCACTAGGGGAGAATCACTACTCACTAGGGGAGAATCATAACTCACTAGGGAGAATCACTACTCACTAGGGAGAATCACTACTCACTAGGGGAGAATCACTACTCACTAGGGGAGAATCACTACTCACTAGGGAGAATCACTACTCACTAGGGAGAATCACTACTCACTAGGGGAGAATCACTACTCACTAGGGAGATCACTACTCACTAGGGAGAATCACTACTCACTAGGGAGAATCAATACTCACTAGGGGAGAATAGGGGAGAATCACTACTCATAGGGAGAAATCACTACTCACTAGGGAGAATCACTACTCACTAGGGAGAATCACTACTCACTAGGGGAGAATCACTACTCACTAGGGGAGAATCACTACTCACTAGGGAGAATCATTACGCACTAGGGAGAATCACTACTCACTAGGGAGAATCACTACTCACTAGGGGAGAATCACTACTCACTAGGGAGAATCACTACTCACTAGGGGAGAATCACTACTCACTAGGGAGAATCACTACTCACTAGGGAGAATCACTACTCACTAGGGGAGAATCACTACTCACTAGGGAGAATCACTACTCACTAGGGAGAATCACTACTCACTAGGGGAGAATCACTACTCACTAGGGGAGAATCACTACTCACTAGGGAGAATCACTACTCACTAGGGAGAATCACTACTCACTAGGGGAGAATCACTACTCAATAGGGGAGAATCACTACTCACTAGGGAGAATCACTACTCACTAGGGAGAATCACTACTCACTAGGGAGAATCACTACTCACTAGGGGAGAATCACTACTCACTAGGGGAGAATCCTACCACTAGGGAGAATCACTACTCACTAGGGAGAATCACTACTCACTAGGGAGAATCACTACTCACTAGGGAGAATCACTACTCACTAGGGGAGAATCACTACTCACTAGGGAGAATCACTACTCACTAGGGAGAATCACTACTCACTAGGGGAGAATCACTACTCACTAGGGAGAATCACTACTCACTAGGGAGAATCACTACTCACTAGGGAGAATCACTACTCACTAGGGAGAATCACTACTCACTATATATTAGACATGCCACTGACATCTTTAGTCATGAGAATAATTGCTAAGCTATTTTCAATCAATTGGGCTCAAATCTTCCTCAAGTCCTCAAGATCAAACCACTCATGGATTGTCTCCTCTAAATGGCATTATCATTCCTATGGATTTGCATGTCAGACTTCATGGATTAAAAAAACGTCATTAGCCTTTTTCTCTCTCTCTCATGGCACTGACTGTCCTAGCTAAGGATGAAATAAACAATGGCAAATACAGCACATACAGTGTTAGAGATAACAGAATAGGACCTAGTTGAGGTTGGGGGGTCTGTCTGCTATCAGTGTTAGAGATAACAGGGTTTGGCCGGCCGGGATTTCCTTGTCCCATCACGCTCTAGTGACTCCTTGTGGCGGGCCGGGCGCCTGCAAGCTGACCTCGGTCGCCAGCTGGACGGTGTTTCCTCCGACGCATTGGTGCGGCTTGCTTCCGGGTTAAGCAAGCAGTGTGTCAAGAAGCAGTGCGGCTTGGCAGGGTCGTGTTTCGGAGGACACATGGCTCTCGACCTTCACCTGTCCCGAGTCCGTAGGGGAGATGCAGCGATGCGACAAGACTATAACTACCAATTGGGAAGAAAAAGGGGTAAAAGTACAAAAAAAAGTATTAAAAAAAAACAAAAAGGACAGAATAGGACATTGTTGAGGTTGGCTGATCTAAGTCTTCTCTCATTCAGTTTCCAGCTTTGTGCATTAACTTTTTTCTGTCTCTCTCACATGGCACTATAGTGTAGCACATCCAGTCTCTCTGTAGTGGGTATCTATCCTCCCTCTCATCCAGTCTCTCTGTAGTATCTATCCTCCTTCTCATCCAGTCTCTCTGTAGTGTCTATCCTCCTCATCCAGTCTCTCTGTAGTGGGTATCTATCCTCCCTCTCATCCAGTCTCTCTGTAGTGGGTATCTATCCTCCCTCTCATCCAGTCTCTCCATATTGGGTATCTATCCTCCTTCTCATCCAGTCTCTCCATATTGGGTATCTATCCTCCCTCTCATCCAGTCTCTCTGTAGTGGGTATCTATCCTCCCTCTCATCCAGTCTCTCTGTAGTGGGTATCTATCCTCCCTCTCATCCAGTCTCTCTGTAGTGGGTATCTATCCTCCCTCTCATCCAGTCTCTCTGTAGTATCTATCCTCCTTCTCATCCAGTCTCTCTGTAGTGTCTATCCTCCTCATCCAGTCTCTCTGTAGTGGGTATCTATCCTCCTTCTCATCCAGTCTCTCTGTAGTGGGTATATATCCTCCCTCTCATCCAGTCTCTCTGTAGTGGGTATCCTCCCTCTCATCCAGTCTCTCTGTAGTGGGTATCTATCCTCCCTCTCATCCAGTCTCTCTGTAGTGGGTATCTATCCTCCCTCTCATCCAGTCTCTCTGTAGTGGGTATCTATCCTCCCTCTCATCCAGTCTCTCTGTAGTGGGTATCTATCCTCCTTCTCATCCAGTCTCTCTGTAGTGGGTATCTATCCTCCTTCTCATCCAGTCTCTCTGTAGTGGGTATCTATCCTCCTTCTCATCCAGTCTCTCTGTAGTGTCTATCCTCCTCATCCAGTCTCTCTGTAGTGGGTATCTATCCTCCTTCTCATCCAGTCTCTCTGTAGTGGGTATCTATCCTCCCTCTCATCCAGTCTCTCTGTAGTGGGTATCTATCCTCCTTCTCATCCAGTCTCTCTGTAGTGGGTATCTATCCTCCCTCTCATCCAGTCTCTCTGTAGTATCTATCCTCCTTCTCATCCAGTCTCTCTGTAGTGGGTATCTATCCTCCCTCTCATCCAGTCTCTCTGTAGTGTCTATCCTCCCTCTCATCCAGTCTCTCTGTAGTGTCTATCCTCCCTCTCATCCAGTCTCTCTGTAGTGGGTATCTATCCTCCCTCTCATCCAGTCTCTCTGTAGTGGGTATCTATTCTCCTTCTCATCCAGTCTCTCTGTAGTGTCTATCCTCCCTCTCATCCAGTATCTCTGTAGTGGGTATCTATCCTCCCTATCATCCAGTCTCTCTGTAGTGGGTATCTATCCTCCCTCTCATCCAGTCTCTCTGTAGTGGGTATCTATCCTCCTTCTCATCCAGTCTCTCTGTAGTGGGTATCTATCCTCCTTCTCATCCAGTCTCTCTGTAGTATCTATCCTCCTTCTCATCCAGTCTCTCTGTAGTATCTATCCTCCCTCTCATCCAGTCTCTCTGTAGTGTCTATCCTCCCTCTCATCCAGTCTCTCTGTAGTGGGTATCTATCCTCCTTCTCATCCAGTCTCTCTGTAGTGTCTATCCTCCTTCTCATCCAGTCTCTCTGTAGTATCTATCCTCCTTCTCATCCAGTCTCTCTGTAGTATCTATCCTCCCTCTCATCCAGTCTCTCTGTAGTATCTATCCTCCTTCTCATCCAGTCTCTCTGTAGTATCTATCCTCCCTCTCATCCAGTCTCTCTGTAGTATCTATCCTCCTTCTCATCCAGTCTCTCTGTAGTGTCTATCCTCCCTCTCATCCAGTCTCTCTGTAGTGGGTATCTATCCTCCTTCTCATCCAGTCTCTCTGTAGTGGGTATATATCCTCCTTCTCATCCAGTCTCTCTGTAGTGTCTATCCTCCTTCTCATCCAGTCTCTCTGTAGTATCTATCCTCCTTCTCATCCAGTCTCTCTGTAGTATCTATCCTCCCTCTCATCCAGTCTCTCTGTAGTATCTATCCTCCTTCTCATCCAGTCTCTCTGTAGTATCTATCCTCCCTCTCATCCAGTCTCTCTGTACTATCTATCCTCCTTCTCATCCAGTCTCTCTGTAGTGTCTATCCTCCCTCTCATCCAGTCTCTCTGTAGTGGGTATATATCCTCCTTCTCATCCAGTTTCTCTGTAGTGGGTATCTATCCTCCTTCTCATCCAGTCTCTCTGTAGTGGGTATCTATCCTCCTTCTCATCCAGTCTCTCTGTAGTGGGTATCCTCCCTCTCATCCATCCATCCATCCATCCATCCATCCATCCATCCATCCAGCCAGCCAGCCAGCCAGCCAGGCAGCCAGCCAGCCAGCCAGGCACTACCAGCAGCTGGCCCTCTAAAGATCATATTTAGTGAGATAATCCCACTGCTCTGGATTCTGCTGTGGATTATGAAGGATGTAGTAGTTGTACGTGATTATCCTGAAAAGGTTTTTCCCAGGCAGGGAGCTGGAAATATGATGTCTGTTTTCTCATTGTTTATGTGTAGTTTATCATTCATACCCTATAACTAGTCATACAACCAGACGATGAACGAACACACTCAACATCTGTATCGGTGCGTTTGTATATCAGTGTGTGTATCGGAACCCTATCAGCCCTGGTCAAAAAGTAGTGCACTATATAGGGAAGTAGTGCACTATATAGGGAAGTAGTGCACTGTAGCCTATAGGGAATAGTGTGCCATTTAATCCGACTGGCAGCCTATGTTTGTGTCGCCCTGCAGTATTAGCCAGAGGGAAACATAGGCGGTCATCATTAAGCTGACGCTGGGAGCATTTTGAGAGAAGAGAAGGTTCTGTTTAAGCAGGTTGTTAGTGGCCAATGTCCCAATCCACTGTGAATTGTGACCACACGTTATACATGAATCTCTTTGCACAATCTCTGATGTAGAGGGAGAAAGTCGAGGGTAGAAAAACAATACATCATGCGTGTGGCCTTCTACTATTCAGGAGGCATTGATCCAGCCAGGGGTTGGGAAGGTTTTGACTTGCTGGCAGCTCAAAGTTCCAATACAAAGTATATACCACTTAGCAAGCGCTTTTATCCAAAGCTACTTACATTCCAGTGAGCGCATACATATTTTGCATGAATATGTAATATGTTCCTGACTAGGAATGGACAAAACCCCTGCAGGGATTTAGATTGCTAGCGCCAAGCCACTTACCCGCACAACAGGTTTCCAGTGCCTCATTGTTGACTGTCATGTTGTCAGGTTGACACGGCCAGTGAAGTGGAGGAGTTGGACATTGATGTGTCCCCAGCACCTTACACCGCTCCCAGAGGAGCTTCCCAGCTACAGGTCTTCATTGCCAGATACAGGTAAGGACTGGCAGACACAGCTTTGGCCAAAGCAGCAGTATGCCTTCACTATGTTGTTGATTTATTTTTTTATTTAACCTTTATTTAACTAGGCAAGTCAGTTAAGAACAAATTCTTATTTACAATGACGGCATACACCGGCCAAACCCGGACGACGCTGGGCCAATTGTTGCGCCGCCCCTATGGGACTCCCAATCACAGCCGGTTGTGATACAGCCTGGAATCGAACCAGGGGGTCTGTAGTGACGCCTCAAGCACTGAGACGCAGTGCCTTAGACCGCCGCGCCACTCGGGAGCCCAAACGTGTTGTTGATTTCTCCAAGTTATTGTTTATATGTTAGTTTTAGTGGTGTTAGTTAGTAGAAAAAAATTGAAGACCAGTTATGTTTCTCGGTATACAACAGTAACAATAAAATGAGATGAGTTGTGTTTCTAATACATAAGTGTTGATAACGTGGCTTTATTTTTCTCCAGCTATAACCCCTATGATGGTCCTAATGATGGGGTGGAGCTACCACTCACCGCTGGGGAGTACATCTATGTTTATGGCGGTATGGATGACGACGGCTTCTATGAAGGTGAGCCTTCTCCAAAAACGTTTTAACACTGAAAGTTAAAAAAATAATGAACACTGAAATGTTAACACTGAGAGTTTTTAGTGTCTTGAAACGATTTACCAAACACAAGTCCTCTCTCTCTCTCTCTCTGTGTCCCTCTTCAGGAGAGCTGATGGACGGGCGGAGAGGGCTGGTCCCCTCCAACTTTGTGGAGCGCGTCTCAGACGACGACATGATGAGCGCCCACTTTCCAGAGGGCACGGACATGTCCCACAACTCCCTGCTGGACAGCAGCCTGCACAGCGCCAGTCACCAGCACCACCTCTGCCTGGGGGGCCCCGTAACCTCTGAGAGGACTGACCCTACGTCAGCAGTCTCCGTCCCCTCAGTGGAGCAGGTCTCCTCGGACCCCTCCCTCCCAGACCTCCTTTCCCCAGCCCCCCTCACCAACGGCCTGGATCTGGACCTAGAGGTGGGGGTGGACACTGTGCCTTACCCGCGCAAGCTCACCCTCATCAAGCAGCTGGCCAAGAGCATCATCATCGGCTGGGACGGGCCGCTGGTGCCGGCGGGCTGGGGCAACGTGTGGAGCTACAATGTGTACGTGGACCAGGAGCTGAGGCTCAACGTGCCCTTCGGCTCCCAGACTAAAGCTGTCCTGGAGAGACTAGACGTCAACCTCAAGGCCTACCGGGTGTCTGTACAGAGCCTGACGGAGCGCGGCAGCTCGGACCAGCTCCGTTGCTCATTACTGGTGGGTAGGGACGTGTGTGTGGCGCCTACCCAGCTCAGAGTCCACCGGGTCACCGCCACCTCGGCCAGCCTGGCCTGGCTGCCTAGCAACAGTAACTATGTGCACATTGTGTCCTTGAACGAGGAGGAGATGGAGCTGGTGAAGGCTGGCAGCTACTCACTGTGCCTCAGTAACCTCACGCCCAGCCTTCACTACACAGTCAAGGTGGAGGCTCAGCCGCCTCAAACCCCCTGGGAGATACCCCAGGAGAGACGGGAACACAAGACCGCCATCACCACCTTCACCACGTTGGCCGCAGGTACGTGAGCGAGACAGGGGAGAGAGATACTGGAGATCAGAGATACACTACTCAAGTCTGAGTAGGGGGGGGCTGAAGAATTGCTGGTTTTTATACTCTACATGAAAGCTAGTTTGATTCATGTCAGTGATTGGCCAGAGATTCCACTCAACTGGTGTCCCCCCCGGTCTTTAAAACAGTCCCTGATTAGAGAGGAGGAATGTAGTCAGGGGCTGTTTAAGAGCTGATATTTCCTTGTGGTTTGATGTTTAACCCCTCCTCTCCCAGGCCCCCCAGACGCTCCTCTGGACGTGCAGCTGGAGCAGGGGCCCTCCCCGGGCATCGCTCTCATCAGCTGGCTGCCTGTCACCATCGATGCTGCTGGGACCTCCAACGGAGTTCGCGTCACCGGATACACAATCTACGCTGACAAGAAAAAGGTGAGCGCTGTAGTATTATTCCCCCGATTGGTCAGTTTGGCCGGGCGGCCAGCTCTAGGAAGAGTCTTGGTGGTTCCAAACTTCTTCCATTTAAGAGTAATGGAGGCCACTGTGTTCTTGGGGACCTTCAATGCTGCATATTATTATTATTATATTATGGTATTGTGTTTCTGCACTGGAAACAGAGCGGAGTGTTTTAGGTTTTGGATGTAATGGGGCTGAAATTATGCTGGAAGGGAAATGCTTCTGAAATGAGTTTGAATTGGTGTGTCTGTCAGGCCAGTGTTTTAGGAGAGGTTCTGTGCTCTAAATGCCCATTGAGTATGTGTTGCTGTCTTTCTCAAGACAGCGGTGTGTGTTTTAAGTGTTCCACAGTATTTGGGGTGCTTCAGCTTCGACTCTAATGATGTCTTGTCCTGATGCTGACTTTTGTATTGTTTGTGTCAGATGTGTTTTATGTCTCTGTGTGAGGATAGTGTGTGTAGAGAGTGTGTGTCTGACCCCTCCCCTCTCCTGCCATTCCCTAGGTGTTGGAGGTGTCGTCCCCCACGGCGGGCAGTGCCCTGATGGGCCCGTCTCAGATCCAGTCCCTGATGGCAGCCCACGAGCTCACCGTGCGCACCGTGTCTGCCCACGGGGAGTCCACCGACTCTGTGCCAGTCAACGTGCCCGCCAAGTTGGCCGCCATCATGACGGGCCAGGCTTCGGCCACCTCCGCATCCTGCTCCTCATCACCCCCCGTTCACCAGTCACCCCCTGTCCACCAGTCGCCAGCCTACCAGTCACCTGCTGTCCACCAGTCTCCCCCCTTCCTGTCTTCGTCACCACCCGTCCAGCCCCAATCCCCGTCCTACGGGAACTCAGCTGCCAAAGTCTCCACGCTGCCCTACGCCACTGCCTCGCCACCACTAGACGTCGCACACGCCATGGGCCCCAACGGGGGGCTGCCCTCTGCCAACTCTCCCCCAGTCCACGCTCTCCACACAGAGGCCTCCTCCCCGCACCCTGCCTCGTACGCGGAGGTCTGGGCTAACCCCTTAGCAAAGTCTCCTGCCCCCCCTCAGGCTGCCTTGGCAGTGCATGAGGCTATGTCACCTCCAGTAGCACCAAACTATCAGGTCAAGTTACCATCAGTACCGTCAGCCTATGAGGCCATGATGTCACCACCAATACAACCAGCCTATCAGGCCATGCTACCACCAGCCTCTCACATCAACACAACGGTACGTACAACAATGCTTAAACACCTGCTCTAGAACTTTTATTTAGAACTCTAGAACTCAGCTGCTGTAGATTTCTCGTCTAGAACTCTAGAACTCACCTGCTATAGAACTGTCATCAAGACCTCACCTGCTCTAGAACTCTCATCTAGAACTCTAGAACTAACCTGCTCTAGAGCTCTCATCTAGAACTCTCATGTAGAACTCTAGAACTCAGCTGCTCTAGGATGCTCATCTAGAACTCACCTGCTCTAGAATGCTCATCTAGTACTCTAGAACTCACCTACTCTAGAACACTCATCTAGAACTCTAGAACTCACCTGTCATTATCTAGTCTACATTATTGTAACTATGTTAACTAAGTGTACATAATACTGTACATACTGTATTGTCTGTTCTCCTTGCCCCCCAACCAGAGCCCACGTCTAAGCTCAGCAGCAGCGATGGAGCAGAGCAGAGCAGACACAGACAGCCCCGGAGTTCCCCGTCCCGTCATGTCCATCACAGACTTTTTCCCTGTGGAGGACTACTCCCGTGCCAACCTTTCAACCCCTGAGCCCTACCCCACCCCGCCCAAGGCCCCTGTGGCCCCCGCTGGGGACCTCATCAATCACCTGGACTCACACCATCTCCAGCCCCCCAAAGCCCCCTCTCCCCTGGAGTCAGAGCCAGACTACTCCATGGAGAGGTCGACCACACGCCTGGAGTCCATGGAGGAGTTCCTCAGGCAGGACCAGGACGCAGGCTTCAGCAGGCAGCCACAGGTTAGTTCATTAGTTAGTTAATTCGTTAATTTGTTAGTTACAGTGCATTCGGAAAGTATTCAGACCACTTGACTTTTTCCACATTTTGTTATGTTGCAGCCCTATTCTAAAATGGATTTATTTATTTATTTCCCTCATCAATGTACACACAATACCCCATAATAACAAAGCAAAAACAGGTTTGTACAAATGTCTAAATGTATCACATTTACATAAGTATTCAGACCCTTTACTCATTACTTTGTTGAAGCACCTTTGGCAGCGATTACAGCCTCATGTCTTCTTGGGTATGACGCTACAGGTTTGGCACACCTGTATGTGGGGAGTTTCTCCCATTCTTCTCTGCAGATCCTCTCAAGCTCTGTCAGGGTGGATGGGGAGAGCCGCTGAATGGGGAGAGCACAGCTATTTTCAGGTCTCTCCAGAGATGTTCGATCGGGTTCAAGTCCGGGCTCTGGCTGGGCCACTCAAGGACATTCAGAGACTTGTCCCGAAGCCACTCCTGCGTTGTCTTAGCTGTGTGCTTAGGATTGTTGTCCTGTTGGAAGGTTAACCTTCACCCCAGTCTGAGGTCCTGAGCGCTCTGGAGCAGGTTTTCATCAAGGATCTCTCTGTACTTTGCTCCATTCATCTTTCCCTCGATCCTGACTAGTCTCCCAGTCCCTGCCACTGAAAAACATTCTCACAGCATGATGCTGCCACCACCATGCTTCACTGTAGAGATGGTGCCAGGTTTCCTCCAGACGTGACACTTAGCATTCAAAGAGTTCAATCTTGGTTTCATCAGACCAGAGAATCTTGTTTCTCATGGTCTGAGAGTCTTTAGGTGCCTTTTGGCAAACTCCAAGCGAGCTGTCATGTGCCTTTTACTGAGGAGTGACTTCCGTCTGGCCACTCTACCATAAAGGCCTGATTGGTGGAGTGCTGCAGAGATGGTTGTCCTTCTGGAAGGTTCTCCCATCTCCACAGAGGAACTCTGGAGCTCTGTCAGAGTGACCATTGGGTTCTTGGTCACCTCCCTGACCAAGGCCCTTCTTCCCCGATTGCTCAGTTTGGCCAGGCGGCCAGCTCTAGGAAGAGTCTTGGTGGTTCCAAACTTCTTCCATTTAAGAATAATGGAGGCCACTGTGTTCTTGGGGACCTTCAATGCTGCAAACATGTTTTGGTACCCTTCCCCAGATCTGTGCCTCGATATAATCCTGTCTCTGAGCTCTACGGACAATTCCTTCAACCTCATGGCTTGGTTTGTGCTCTGACATGCACTGTCAACTGTGGGACATTATATAGACAGGTGTGTGCCTTTCCAAATCATGTCCAATCAATTGAATTTACCACAGGTGGACTCCATTCAGGTTGTAGAACATCTCAAGGAAGATCAATGGAAACAGGATGCATCTACACTCAATTTCAAAGGGTCTGAATACTAATATTGTATTTTATTTGTAATAAATGTTATAACATTTATAAAAACCAGTTTTCGCTTTGTCATTGTTGGGCATTATTGTGTGTAGATTGATGAGGATATATTTTTAAAAATCCATTTTAGAATAAGGCTGTAACGTAACAAAATGTGGAAAAAGTCAAGGGGTCTGAATACTTTCTGAATGCACTGTAGTTAGTTAGTTAGTTCGTTAGTTAGTTCGTTAGTTAGTTAGTTCGTTAGTTAGTTAGTTAATTAGTTAGTTAGTACAGACTGTGCTTCTTTGAATTTCTTTCATTAGTCCATTGTTGATATTGTCCCAAAATGTTTTGCCTGTCAGCAATCAAGTTTTCATGATACAGTATATAACTTTCAAAATACAGAAATACATCCGGTATTATGCATTTTGCGTCATATGATGCTGCGTTTTACATCATATGATGCAAAATGCAACATACGGCTGTATTTCTGTATTTTGAAAGTTATATACAGTACCAGTCAAAAGTTTGGACACACCTACTCATTCAAGGGTTTTTCTTTATTTGTACTTTTTTCTACATTGTAGAAAAATAGTGAAGACATCAAAACTATGAAATAACACAACATTTTGGGACTGTATTAACAATGGACTAATGAAACAAATACCGAATACCTTTAAATGTCATGGACAGTTTCCTGGGCAGATACGATCTGCACGCTGCAGCAGACACCTCTGAATTACTCTTTACTGTCTTAGTGTTCCCCTCTCATTGGCTAGTACTCTCATTGGCTAGTACTCTCATTGGCTAGTACTCTCATTGGCTAGTACTCTCATTGGCTAGTACTCTCATTGGCTAGTACTCTCATTGGCTAGTACTCTCATTGGCTAGTACTCTCTGTATTTTAATCTTCTGATGATGTGGATAACGCAGGCTCAGAAAGAAACTCTTACATTTAACATTGTAGTCATTTAGCAGACGCTCGTCACCAGAGCGACTTACAGTTAGTGAGCGCATACATTTTTCATACTGCATACTCTTAGAGAGCGGAGTGGCCATGCCCTCACACACAGGTTGAAGAGTGCCAACATCACCCAGCCTCACCCCTTGTTTTTGATGAACCAGTTACTCCTCTGGCTGTGGGATCATTATGTATCAACAGGGTGCTTCAGACTAGAGAGCGTTGAGGATAGAGGCAGCATACCAAGATATAGCTGCGCTCATAGTACAATTTAGGCTAAGAAAATGTACATTTTGGGGGATTTACCTAATACATTAAAGTTTCGCTTGTATTGGCACCTACAGTTAATAGCAATAAAAAAATATCAACTCTAAACGTAGATTTGTATGTTTCGTATGAGTTAGATACAGGCTATGACATCATTGGTTATTCCAAATGCCTGTCCTGTTGGATATGTTTTACACGAGTTGGATAAGTAACATCATTGGTTATTCCACTGTCTCTAAGCCTGTTGGATATGTTTTACACGAGTTGGATAAGTAACATCATTGGTTATTCCACTGTCTCTAAGCCTGTTGGATATGTTTTACACGAGTTGGATAAGTAACATCATTGGTTATTCCACTGTCTCTAAGCCTGTTGGATATGTTTTACACGAGTTGGATAAGTAACATCATTGGTTATTCCACTGTCTCTAAGCCTGTTGGATATGTTTTACACGAGTTGGATAAGTAACATCATTGGTTATTCCACTGTCTCTAAGCCTGTTGGATATGTTTTACACGAGTTGGATAAGTAACATCATTGGTTATTCCACTGTCTCTAAGCCTGTTGGATATGTTTTACACGAGTTGGATAAGTAACATCATTGGTTATTCCACTGTCTCTAAGCCTGTTGGATATGTTTTACACGAGTTGGATAAGTAACATCATTGGTTATTCCACTGTCTCTAAGCCTGTTGGATATGTTTTACACGAGTTGGATAAGTAACATCATTGGTTATTCCGCTGTCTCTAAGCCTGTTGGATATGTTTTACACGAGTTGGATAAGTAACATCATTGGTTATTCCACTGTCTCTAAGCCTGTTGGATATGTTTTACACGAGTTGGATAAGTAACATCATTGGTTATTCCACTGTCTCTAAGCCTGTTGGATATGTTTTACACGAGTTGGATAAGTAACATCATTGGTTATTCCACTGTCTCTAAGCATGTTGGATATGTTTTACACAAGTTGGATAAGTAACATCATTGGTTATTCCACTGTCTCTAAGCCTGTTGGATATGTTTTACACGAGTTGGATAAGTAACATCATTGGTTATTCCACTGTCTCTAAGCCTGTTGGATATGTTTTACACGAGTTGGATAAGTAACATCATTGGTTATTCCGCTGTCTCTAAGCCTGTTGTGCTGTGTGGTTGTGTCCTGTGGATCAGCGTTATACTGCTGGCCTGGTGGAGCCAGAGAGCAGCAGGGGCTCTGACCTATCCGATATCCTGGAGGAAGAGGAGGACGACCTCTACTCCGACCCCCCTGGACCCGCCATGCCCCGGGGGTACACCACCGGAGCTAACAGGGTAAACACTCACCACACACAGCTGATCTGACTCATCTTTGCTGTGGAGGACAGCCTCTGCTTTTGTTACATTTGCTTTATTTCTTCTTTCACTCTTGAATTCACTCCCCGTTTTGATTCATTTTGTTTTCTTTTTCTTTGTACGCCTCTCCTTTGTACGTCACACTCCACCCTCACTCTTCACTGTTTCCTTCTGTCACCCTGCCCACCACTCCACCCTCACTCTTCACTGTTTCCTTCTGTCACCCTGCCCACCACTCCACCCTCACTCTTCACTGTTTCCTTCTGTCACCCTGCCCACCACTCCACCCTCACTCTGTCACCCTGCCCACCACTCCACCCTCACTCTTCACTGTTTCCTTCTGTCACCCTGACACCACTCCACCCTCACTCTTCACTGTTTCCTTCTGTCACCCTGCCCACCACTCCACCCTCACTCTTCACTGTTCCATCTGTCACCCTGCCCACCACTCCACCCTCACTTTGTCACCCTGCCCACCACTCCACCCTCACTCTTCACTGTTCCTTCTGTCACCCTGCCCACCACTCCACCCTCACTTTGTCACCCTGCCCACCACTCCACCCTCACTCTTCACTGTTTCCTTCTGTCACCCTGCCCACCACTCCACCCTCACTCTGTCACCCTGCCCACCACTCCACCCTCACTCTGTCACCCTGCCCACCACTCCACCCTCACTCTGTCACCCTGCCCACCACTCCACCCTCACTCTGTCACCCTGCCCACCACTCCACCCTCACTCTTCACTGTTCCTTCCTGACCTCCTATCTCTATCCAACCTCCTACCACATCCAACCTTCGTACCGTCAACCTGTTACACCCCCTCCTCGATGACCCTTGACCCATGAACCCTGTAGCCAGACCAGTGGGAGGTGCCGGACAGTGACGAGGAGATTGTGGAGAGGATCCTGAAGCTTCCTCCTCAGGCCCAGACTCAGGCGTACCACTACAATCACGATCATCATCACCATAACATGCACCTGTTCAGCATCCCAGAGGTCACTGATGAAGAGGACAACAGCGTGGACGAGGACTATAATCACCGTCGCACCCGCAAAGCACAATCCCAGCAGACACAACCCGATGCCCCCCCCCGCCCCGACAACCCAACCATCTTACAGATATCTCTCTCTCGATCGCTCTGTCAGAAGTATAGTACTAGTACAACAGGTCTTCTCTACTGCAGTCAGTCAGATGACCAGCGCGTTTAGGGCAGGGGGGACAGTACTATAACAGGGATAGGGTGATAGGGGAGAGTGAGCAAGCGACCGCTAAGATAAAAACCAGCTTAACTCCAAAATGGCTCGTCATGACAACTATGAAGATGGTAACCTAGATTAGTCTGCAGTGAAACCAACTAAGCATGAAGATGGTAACCTAGATTAGTCTGCAGTGAAACCAACTAAGCATGAAGATGGTAACCTAGATTAGTCTGCAGTAGGTGGAAGAACAAAGAACATGCAGATGGATACACAGGACACTCTTCACATGCACCCAGCGAGACTAGAGAGAAGGGTGGTATCAGGGAAGACCGTGTTCCCACATCCAGACAATATAAACGGGGTCTACTTTCCCCTGTCAGCTCGGCTCTGCCTATAGCCTGACTGTAGCTACATACAGATGGACTAATCCTCCCCTAATGAGATAGAACCTGGTCTCATTGGAGCATCTTAAGCCCTAGTTCACTAGAACAGTTCGCATGTAGGTCTAGGTAATCAGTCATCATGGTCACTACATCACATAGACAGACAGCCCTGTGGTTAGACCAGGTAATCAGTCATCATGGTCACTACATCACATAGACAGACAGCCCTGTGGTCAGACCAGGTAATCAGTCATCATGGTCACTACATCACATAGGACAGACAGCCCTGTGGTAGACCAGGTAATCAGTCATCATGGTCACTACATCACATAGACAGACAGCCCTGTGGTCAGACCAGGTAATCAGTCATCATGGTCACTACATCACATAGACAGACAGCCCTGTGGTCAGACCAGGTAATCAGTCATCACGGTCACTACATCACATAGACAGACAGCCCTGTGGTCAGACCAGGTAATCAGTCATCATGATCACTACATCACATGGACAGACAGCTCTGTGGTCAGACCAGGGTAATCTATGTCATTTTCACGGTCAACTACATCACATAGACAGACAGCCCTGTGGTCAGACCAGGTAATCAGTCATCTTCATCACTACATCACATAGACAGACAGCCCTGTGGTCAGACCAGGTAATCAGTCATCTTCATCACTACATCACATAGACAGACAGCCCTGTGGGTCAGACCAGGTAAATCAGTCAGTTCATCAATCCATATATAGACAGACAGCCCTGTGGTCAGACAGGTAACAGTCATCTTCATCACTACATAACATAGACAGACAGCCCTGTGTCAGACCAGGTATATTCACCAATCATCATAGACAGACAGCCCTGTGGTCAGACCAGGTTAATCAGTCATATAGACAGACAGCCTGTGGTCCAGCAGGTAATCAGTATCTATCACTACATCAGTAGACAGGACAGCCCTGTGGTCAGACCAGGGGTAATCAGTCATCATAGACAGACAGCCCTGGTTGTGGTCAGACAAGGGTAATCATCATCATGGTCACTACATCAGATAGACGACAGCCTGTGGTCAGACCAGGTAATCGTCATCATAGAAGGACAGCCCTGTGGTCCGAAAGGTGGTATCAGTCAGCAAGACAGACAGCCCTGTGGTCAGACCAGGTAATCAATCATCATAGACAGACAGCCCTGATGATGTAACATCTTCTTACTGTATCAACACCGCACACACGACTTCAGGACAGATGTTTAGGCCATGTCCTTAAGGCATATGAAGCCTACAGTATAAATTGACTTTTAATATCACTACAAGCTCTGTGATGTATGTGCATCTATGTCTCCACTGTGTGCACATCAGTGGAGGCTGTTGAGGGGAGGACAGCTCATAATAATGTCTGGAATGGAGCGAATGGAATGGACATCAAACCATTCAGTATTTGCTCCAGCTGTTACCACGAGCCCGTCCTCCCCACTTTAAGGTGCCACCAACCCCCTGTGGTGTACTTTCTGTGTTGTTGCTGTTAATGTAAAACCACATCCAGAGATGATTTTTGAAGAGTAGCGAGGGAAGGGAATGGTGTGGAAAGGATAGGTTGGTGGCGGTGTGGTTGGAGGTAATCTATTACGGAAAGAAGAAGAGAGGAAAGATGAAAAAGGGCAGAGAAGGATAAAGAGGAAGAGAGGAAGAGAGAAAGGAGGAAGAGAGGAAAAAGAGGAAAAGAGGAAAAGAGAAGAGAGGCAAAGTAGGAAGAGGATGGCAAGAGGGAAGCGGGACGAGCGCACGAGAGGAAAAGAGGAAGAAGATAGAGAAAAGGAGTGCAGATGAGGAAATGGCTGGTAAGCGAGACAGAGTAGACAGAGGAAGAGAGGACGAGTGGAGGAAAGCAGAGGAACGAGAGGCAAAAAGAGATGAGGAAAAGCGGGAGCGAAGGAAGCAGAGAAAGAGAGGAAGAGAGGCAAAGAGAGAAAGAGAGGGAAAGAGGAAAAGAAAGGACACGAGGAAAGAGGAAAAGAGGACAAGATGAAGAAGAGGCAAAGGGAATGCAGAGAGAAAAGATGGAATAGCGGGAAAGGAGGAAAGAGGAAAATCAGAGGAAGGAGAGAATAAGAGGAAAAGTAGCGCGAAAAGAGGAGCAAGGGAAGTGAGGACAAGGAGGAAGAGAGGAAAGAGGAAGGAGGAAAAGAGGGAAAGAGAACGAGAGGAAGACCGGAAGAGAGGAAAAAGAGAAAAGAGAGGACGAGAGGATACAGATGAGGAAACGAGAACGAGGAAAAGAGGCAAAGGAAGAGAGCGGAAAAGAGGAAGAGGGAAGAGGAGAAGAGAGGAAGAAGAGGCAAAAGAGGAAAAGCGGAAAGAGGAAGAGCGGAAGAAGAGGAAAGCAGAGGAAAAGGAAAGACTGTGGAGAGAGAAGAGGGAAAAGTTAGGAAAGAGAGGAAAAGATCGAAGAGAGAAAGAGAGGAAAGGCAGGAAGAGAGGAAAAAGAGGAAGAGCGGAAATGGCGAAGAAGAAAAGAGAGGAATAAGAGGAAGAGAGGAAGAGGGAAGAGAGGAAGAGCGGAAAAGAGGAAGAGAGGCAGAGAGCGAAAGAAGAGGAAGAGAGGAACAAAGAAAGAGATGGAAAGAGGAAAAGATGGGAAAAAGAGGCAAAGCGGAACAGAGAGGGGAAGAGAGGCTAAGGAAGAAGGAAGAGAGAGGAAAAGAGGAAAGCAGAGGAAAAAGAGGGGAAAAGAGGAAAAGAGGAAAGAAAAGAGAGAAAGAGGAAGAGAGGAAAGAGAGAGAAAGAGGAAAGAGGAAAAGAGGAAAAAGAGGAAAAGAGGGAGGGGAAGAGAGGAAAAGAGGAAAAGCGAAAAGGGAAAAGAGGACAGAGGAGAGAGGAAAGAGGAAAGAGGAGAGAAGAGGAAAGAGGAGGACAGAGAAGAGAGATCGGAAAAGAGGAAGCAGAGGAAAAGAGGAGAAAAGGAGGAAAAGAGGAAGAAGGAGGAAAAGAGAACGAGGAAAAGAGACTGGAAAATATTCAACTAACAGGGACCGAGAAAGAGATAAAACTATCAGCTATTCCCTCGTTCACTATTCCTATTCCCACTACCCACTCTTCCCTTTCCTCTATTCCCTCTTCTTCTTCCCTCTTCCCTCTTACCTTCCTTGTGACGGGGGATTCATCGACATGCGCACGTTTCTTTCTCAAGCAGCTTAGGTCCCACTGGCTTAGGCTCAGGGCATTAGCTTGATTACCTCTCTTAAGTACACGCCCAGGCCACGCCATTACACAGCAGAGTGGGGGGGAGGGGTAATGGACGGGGAGTGAGCTCTACCATGTGGATCAAGTCAAATTGTATTTGTCACATGCTTCGTATACAACAGGTGTAGACTGTGAAATGATTATTTACGGATCCTTTTTCAATAATGCAAAGTTAGATAAAAAGTGACACAAGGAAGAAATACACACTGAATAACGAATAACAATAACGAGTAAAAAATAACATGGCTATATACAGGAAGTACCAGGTAATAACATGGCTATATACAGGAAGTACCAGGTAATAACATGGCTATATACAGGAAGTACCAGGTAATAACATGGCTATATACAGGAAGTACCAGGTAATAACATGGCTATATACAGGAAGTACCAGATAATAAAAAATGGCTATATACAGAAAGTACCAGGTAATAACATGGCTATATATAGGAAGTACCAGGTAATAACATGGCTATATACAGGAAGTACCAGGTAATAACATGGCTATATACAGGAAGTACCAGGTAATAACATAAAAATATACAGGGAGTACCAGGTAATAACATAGCAATATACAGGGAGTACCAGGTAATAACATGGCTATATACAGGGAGTACCAGGTAATATCATGGCTATATACAGGGAGTACCAGGTAATAACATGGCTATATACAGGATGTATCAGGTAATAACATAGCAATATACAGGGAGTACCGGGTAATAACATGGCTATATACAGGGAGTACCAGTACCGAGTCGGAATGAGGTAGCTATGTACATATAGGTAGGGTTAAAGTGACTTAACAACAGGATAGATAATAGACAGTAGCAGCAGCAGGTAGACATTTGATTAGCTATTTAGCAATCTTGTTTAAGAGTTTCATGGCTTAGGGGTAGAAGCTGTTCAAGGTCCCGTTGGTTCCAGACTTGGTGCACTGGTACCGCTTGCCGTGCGGTAGCAGAGAGAACAGTCTATGGCTTGGGTGGCTGGAGTATTGGACCATTGTTTAGGGCCTTCCTCTGACACCGCCTGGTATAGAGGTCCTGGATGGCAGGGGGCTCGGCCCCAGTGATGTACTGGGCCGTATTCACCAACCTCTGTAGCACCTTGCCGTCGGGTGCCTTGCAGTTGCCGTACCAAGTGGTGATGCAGCCAGTCAAGATGCTCTCAGTGGTGCAGCTGAATCATTTTTGGATGATCTGAGGGCCCCATGCCAAATCTTTTTTTAGCCTCCTGAGGGGGAAGAGGCACCGTCGTGCCCTCTTCACAACTGTGTGGGTGTGTGTGGGCCACGTTAATTCCTTGGTGAGGTGGACACTGAGGAACCTGAAGCTCTCGACCCGCTCCACTACACTGTGGGACTGTGGGAGTGGAAGCGTGTGTGTGAATTTGATCAGGCAAAACCAGGGGACTATATTACCTTTTGAAATAATTTGGTCCTTTGCACCACAATGCTTGTAGGCTAACTGTTGCTCCAAATAACGTGTGTTCTGTTTGTGTGTTTGCGTGCAGAAAGCATGGATCCTGCACGGCCTATAGGAGACAACGAGGTGCGTATCTTTGTGGCTCTGTTCCCCTACGACCCGGTCAACATGTCCCCCAACCCCGACGCCGCTGAGGAGGAACTGCCCTTCAGAGAGGGACAGATCATCAAGGTATGGAACCTGTCACAATAATCCCAGTGATATCCCTGGCACTATGCTAGATACTCTCATCTGATCTGTCAATAATTATTGGTTGTTGAAGGCAAAATGTTTCTCCATGTTATCTCTCATCTATTAATGAGGTAGTAAGACCGCCATCTTGTTTCTCTTTCCCCATCCTCCATTTCCAGATCTACGGAGACAAAGACTCGGACGGGTTCTACCGCGGCGAGTCGAACGGTCGTCACGGTTACGTGCCATGTAACATGGTGTCAGAGATTCAGGTGGAGGACGAGGAGACCAGAGAGACACTCCTGCAGCAGGGCTTCCTGTCTACCGCCACAAACATGGAGAAGATAGGTAGGCATAACTGTCAATCATAGCACCATCCAATCATCAAATGGTTTTACAGCTGTCAATCATATCAACAGCCAATGCCAACAGGGTTCATCCCACAAGTGCCAAAATAAACAGGGCCCTTGTCTGATCCAAGTAACATACTGTCCATGTAATCAAACAATGAATCATTTAAGTACGTTGTATTTGTGTAGTGCTTTCTGTTTGGTGTCAGCTCTATGGTTTGTCTATGCTGTCAGCCTGTACACGTCACTGTAAAATGGGTACGAACTGCGGTCTTTGGACAGGTGTGGGTATGTTCTTTGTGGTTTTGTTTCATGAACTCCCCATTGTCCGTGGAGTGGACAGTGAAAGGATGTGAAAAGGCAATAACAGAAGCTCTGTAGGATGTGTAGAGTGACGTGACAGATGTTGTGACTTTCAGAACTGCCAACAGATTTAAATGTTCTACTCCTCTCTTTCTAGTCTTGATTTTTTTATATATATATATATATTTTTTTTAAATTAAACCTTATTTTAACAGGTAAGTTGACTGAGAACACATTCGAATTTACAGCAACGACCTGGGGAATAGTTACAGGGGAGAGGACGGAGGACGAATGAGCCAATAACGACTAGATAATATACTTCAAACTTGAACAATTTGAAATGAAAGCATAAGTCCGTGTTTTTTCAATCTGTTTGGAGGAAGTCCTCAGAACTGATTAAACAGCAGCTGCATCTAGGTTAATGGAAAACATACATTTGACTCATTATCGTTTTACTGTTATTGAGTTGTCATTTTAAATGACCCATGTACTGAGTAAGAATTCACAAAACTGGCTGAATTGTGCTATTTGATTAAATGAAAAAGTAAACCATAGAAATTACATTTACATTTTAGTCATTTAGCAGACGCTCTTAACCAGAGCGACTTACAGGAGCAATTAGGGTTAAGTGCCTTGCTCAAGGGCACATTAACGTCATTTAGCAGACGCTCTTAGCCAGAGCGACTCACAAATTGGTGCGTTCACCCTATAGCCAGTGGGATAACCACTTTACAATTTGGGGGGGGGGGGGGGGGGGGTTAGAAGGAATACTTTATCCTATCCCAGGTATTCCTTAAAGAGGTGGGGTTTCAAATGTCTCCGGAAGGTGGTGAGTGACTCCGCTGTCCTGGCGTCGTGAGGGAGCTTGTTCCACCATTGGGGTGCCAGAGCAGCGAACAGTTTTGACTGGGCTGAGCGGGAGCTGTGCTTCCGCAGAGGAAGGGGAGCCAGCAGGCCAGAGGTGGATGAACGCAATGTCCTCGTTTGGGTGTAGGGACTGATCAGAGCCTGAAGGTACAGAGGTGCCGTTCCCCTCACTGCTCCATAGGCAAGCACCATGGTCTTGTAGCGGATGCGAGCTTCAACTGGAAGCCAGTGGAGTGTGCGGAGGAGGGGGGGTGACGTGAGAGAACTTGGGAAGGTTGAACACCAGACGGGCTGCGGCATTCTGGATGAGTTGTAGGGGTTTAATGGCACAGGCAGGGAGCCCAGCCAACAGCGAGTTGCAGTAGTCCAGACGGGAGATGACAAGTGCCTGGACCAGGACCTGCGCCGCTTCCTGTGTAAGGCAGGGTCGCACTCTCCGAATGTTGTAGAGCATGAACCTGCAGGAGCGGGTCACCGCCTTGATGTTGGCGGAGAACGACAGGGTGTTGTCCAGGGTCACGCCTAGGCTCTTCGCACTCTGGGAGGAGGACACAGCGGAGTTGTCAACCGTGATGGCGAGATCATGGAACGGGCAGTCCTTCCCCGGGAGGAAGAGCAGCTCCGTCTTGCCAGGGTTCAGCTTGAGGTGGTGATCCGTCATCCATACTGATATGTCTGCCAGACATGCAGAGATGCGATTCGCCACCTGGTTATCAGAAGGGGGAAAGGAGAAGATTAGTTGTGTATCGTCAGCGTAGCAATGATAGGAGAGACCATGTGAGGATATGACAGAGCCAAGTGACTTGGTGTATAGGGAGAAAAGGAGAGGGCCCAGAACCGATCCCTGGGGGACACCAGTGGTGAGAGCACGTGGTGCGGAGACAGCTTCCCGCCACGCCACTTGGTAGGAGCGACCGGTCAGGTAGGACGCAATCCAGGAGTGAGCCGCGCCGGAGATGCCCATCTCGGAGAGGGTGGAGAGGAGGATCTGATGGTTCACAGTATCGAAGGCAGCAGACAGGTCTAGAAGGACAAGAGCAGAGGAGAGAGAGTTAGCTTTAGCAGTGCGGAGAGTCTCCGTGACACAGAGAAGAGCAGTCTCAGTTGAATGACCAGTCCTGAAACCTGATTGGTTTGGATCAAGAAGGTAATTCTGAGAGAGATAGCAAGAGAGTTGGCTAAAGACGGCACGTTCAATAGTTTTGGAAAGAAAAGAAAGAAGGGATACTGGTCTGTAGTTGTTGACATCAGTGGGGAAATGACACTCCTATGAGATGCTTTGTATGCTTTCATGGTTCGTCTTCAATTGGAACTTGGTTGTTTGTGTTCACTGACTGCCTTTTGCCAAGCCCAATTTCCTTTTTGGTTTTTCATCGACTCTGTGTCATGCAACTCATTTCCAAGAAGTGCCAGAAGCGTTAGCTAGTGTGATAAGCTAAGTGCTATGGACCCAACATGCACACACACACAAACACAGCATCAACCACCCAGCCAACTAGATCAAGCTGACAAACAATGTATTTTCAGATGTTTTAACCCTTTCACTTCTACTTGCTGTGTTCTGATAGCTGATTATTATTGGTTGGTTTATAAAATTGCTTTTTTACGGGCTTCAAACTCATTCTGTCTCTTGTCTGGTCTGCTTTTTCACGGTTCTGGCGTCTCTGTCTGTCTGTGTTTTTTCTTTTTGGTTTCAAATTTGGTTTTCCTTTTTTAAAACTCCATAAAGGCACTCGCTCACACGCACAGCTTCCGCATCGCCCTGTCCCACCTCCGAAACCGAGACGATCCAAGAAAGGTGTGTCTCGCTGTCGCTGCTGACATGGCTGATTATCTGGTCTGATCTCTCTCTCTCCTTTCTCCTTCCCCGTTTCCCGCTCTTACTTTGGTCTGCCTTTTTTTTCTCTCTATCTCTATCACTCTCTCCTTGTTGCTTTCTGACCAGAGGGGATCTGTGGATTCACAGTAGTCAATATATAAAACGTTATAATGATCTTTGGATTCACAGTAGTCAATATATAAAACATTATAATGATCTGTGGATTCACAGTATGCAATATCCAAAACATTATAATGATCTGTGGATTCAAAGTATTCAATATACAGTTGAAGTCGGAAGTTTACATACACCTTAGCCAAATACATTTAAACTAAGTTTTTCACAATTCCTGACATTTAATCCTAGTAAAAATTCCCTGTCTTAGTTCAGTTAGGATCACCACTTTATTTTAAGAATGTGAAATGTCCGAATAATAGTAGAGAGAATGATTTATTTCAGCTTTTATTTATTTCATCACATTCCCAGTGGGTCAGAAGTTTACATACACTCAATTAGTATTTGGTAGCATTGCCTTTAAATTGTTTAACTTGGGTCAAACGTTTCAGGTAGCCTTCCACAAGCTTCCCACAATAAGTTGGGAAGCTTGTGGCCCATTCCTCCTGACAGAGCTGGTGTAACTGAGTCAGGTTTGTAGGCCTCCTTGCTCGCACATGCTTTTTCAGTTCTGCCCACAAATGTTCTATAGGATTGAGGTCAGGGCTTTGTGATGGCCACTCCAATACCTTGACTTTGTTGTCCTTAAGGCATTTTGCCACAACTTTGGAATTATGCTTGGGGTCATTGTCCATTTGGAAGACCCATTTGCGACCAAGCTTTAACTTCCTGAATGATGTCTTGAGATGTTGCTTCAATATATCCACTTAATTTTCCTTCCTCATGATGCCATCTATTTTGTGAAGTGCACCAGTCCCTTCTGCAGCAAAGCACCCCCACAGCATGATGCTGTCACCCCCGTGCTTCACGTTTGGGATGGTGTTCTTCGGCTTGCAAGCATCCCCCTTTTTCCTCCAAACATAACGATGATCATTATGGCCAAACAGTTCTATTTTTGTTTCACCAGACCATAGGACATTTCTCCAAAAAGTACGATCTTTGTCCCCATGAGCAGTTGCAAACCGTAGTCTGGCTTTTTTATGGCGGTTTTGGAGCAGTGGCTTCTTCCTTGCTGAGCGGCCTTTCAGGTTATGTCGATATAGGACTCGTTTTACTGTGGATATAGATATTTTTATACCTGTTTCCTCCTGCATCTTCACAAGGTCCTTTGCTGTTGTTCTGGGATTGATTTGCACTTTTTGCACCAAAGTACGTTCATCTCTAGGAGACAGAACGCATCTCCTTCCTGAGCGGTATGATGGCTGCATGGTCCCATGGTGTTTATACTTGCGTACTATTGTTTGTACAGATGAACGTGGTACCTTCAGGCGTTTGGAAATTGCTCCCAAGGATGATCCAGACTTGTGGAGGTCTACAATTTCTTTTCTGAGCTCTTGGCTGATTTCTTTTGATTTTCCCATGATGTCAAGCAAAGAGGCACTGAGTTTGAAGGTAGGCCTTGAAATACATGCACAGGTACACCTCCAATTGACTCAAATGATGTCAATTAGCCTATCAGAAGCTTCTAAAGCCATGACATCATTTTCTGGAATTTTCAAAGCTGTTTAAAGGCACAGTCAACTTAGTGTATGTAAACTTCTGACCCACTGGAATTGTGATACAGTGAATTATAAGTGAAATAATCTGTCTGTAAACAATTGTTGGAAAAATTACTTGTGTCATGCACGAAGTAGATGTCCTAACCGACTTGCCAAAACAATAGTTTGTTAACAAGAAATGTGTGGAGTGGTTGAAAAACGAGTTTTAATGACACCAACCTAAGTGTATGTAAACTTTTGACTTCAACTGTATAACACATTATAATGTACTGCCATAGACTAAGATATAGGAGGGCTAAAACTCTGATTGATGCACTATCTGGTTATAGCGTTTGAATATACAAATTGCCCTAGTTTCATCCTTCAGCATCCCCTCTGATCTCCTCCTTCTATCTGTATCTCTGTTTCCTGTGTGACTGTATAATATCATATCTGGCATCAGGCTGCTCTCTCTAGGGTTGGCTTTGGTTTCTACATTTACTTTGGTTGTACTACTGAGTGTGTCCGAGCCAGGATGACCAGGGTGAAATGCTTTATTTAACCTGCTCCTCTCTCCTCACCCAACCCCACTCCCATACCCATCTACTCTTCCAGTGGAGTCTGCTGCACTGTGGGAAGATAGCTTAGACTCATCCAGTCAAGGTTGGTAATGTAACCATTAGTCTCTCTCTCTCTCTCTCTGCCTCCCCAGCATGAAGGGACGCCTGCTCTAGCGTCCACTGGAAAACCTGCATGTATTAGACAAGATACGCATGACATCATCATTATGCGACCTCTGAACCTTTGTCTAACTGCTCAAGTCTCCACTGGATACCTGCATGTGTTATACTAGATACCCATGACGTCATCAACATGCGACCTCTGAACCTTTGTCTAACTGCTCAAGTCTCCACTGGATACCTGCATGTGTTATACTAGATACCCATGACATCATCATTATGCGACCTCTGAACCTTTGTCTAACTGCTCAAGTCTCCACTGGATACCTGCATGTGTTATACTAGATACCCATGACGTCATCAACATGCGACCTCTCTAAATCTGTGTCTGACTTGCTGCGTCATTCTAACGGGCGGATATTAATTAGCCTCATCCTGCTTGCCTGTTGATAACGGTGGTGATGATGTCCTCTTCTCCATCTCCATGATCCTCCTAATGCTGTGTCATCTAATGTTCTAAGTGACATCATCACTACATGAACTCTGAAGTCTCTTCCTGTTTTGCACTTACAGTTATACAGATACACACACACACACACACACACACACACACACACACTTTCACATACACTGCAAACGCACACACACACATACACTTTCACATACACTACATACGCACACACACATAACACACACGCATACCGACAACACAAACACACATACATACACACTTTCTCACTCATTATATGCTGCTGCTACTCTGGTCTTTATTTCACTCTTATTATTATCTATCCTGATGCCTAGTCACTTTACCCTGCCTTCATGTACATATCTACCTCAAATACCTTATTATTATCTATCCTGATGCCTAGTCACTTTACCCTGCCTTCATGTACATATCTACCTCAAATACCTTATTGTTATCTATCCTGATGCCTAGTCACTTTACCCTGCCTTCATGTACATATCTACCTCAAATACCTTATTGTTATCTATCCTGATGCCTAGTCACTTTATCCTGCCTTCATGTACATATCTACCTCAAATACCTTATTATTATCTATCCTGATGCCTGGTCACTTTACCCTGCCTTCATGTACATATCTACCTCAAATACCTTATTATTATCTATCCTGATGCCTAGTCACTTTACCCTGCCTTCATGTACATATCTACCTCAAATACCTTATTATTATCTATCCTGATGCCTAGTCACTTTACCCTGCCTTCATGTACATATCTACCTCAAATACCTTATTATTATCTATCCTGATGCCTAGTCACTTTACCCTGCCTTCATGTACATATCTACCTCAAATACCTTATTAGTATCTATCCTGATGCCTAGTCACTTTACCCTGCCTTCATGTACATATCTACCTCAAATACCTTATTATTATCTATCCTGATGCCTAGTCACTTTATCCTGCCTTCATGTACATATCTACCTCAAATACCTTATTATTATCTATCCTGATGCCTAGTCACTTTACCCTGCCTTCATGTACATATCTACCTCAAATACCTTATTATTATCTATCCTGATGCCTAGTCACTTTACCCTGCCTTCATGTACATATCTACCTCAAATACCTTATTATTATCTATCCTGATGCCTAGTCACTTTACCCTGCCTTCATGTACATATCTACCTCAAATACCTTACTCCCTGTATATAGCAGCACATTGATCTACTACTGGTACTTCCTGTATCTAGCAGCACATTGATCTACTACTGGTACTTCCTGTATAGCTCCATTCTTGTGTATTTTATTCCTCTTGTGTTACTATTTTTCTTTTTATTATTATTTTTTACTCTGCATTGTTGGGAAGGGCTCGTAACAAAGCATTTCACGGTTAAGTCTACACCCGTTGTATTCGGTGCTGTCACGATCGTCTGGGTAAGGAGTAGTAGACCAAGGCGCAGCGTGTGAAATAAACATGACTTTATTTAATTAAAGTTCCTAAATATAAACAAAACACGATTCGTGAAGTCCACGGTTAAACATACCGTCACGGAACAAAAACCCACAACCACAAGGTGAAAACACACAGTATAAATATGGCTCCCAATCAGAGACAACGAGCCGACAGCTGACACTCGTTACCTCCGATCGGGAGTCACTCAATACAACAATCAACAACCTAGAAATAGACACAACAGAACTACCAACATTGAAATAAACACATAGAATGCACACACCCTGGCTCAACATAACGAGTCCCAGAACCAGGGTGTGACAGTACCCCCCCCTAAAGGCGCGGACTGTGACCGCGCCTCAAAAACCCCAAACAGGGGAGGGCTGGGCGGGCATACCTCCTCGGTGGCGGTTCTGGCTCCGGCCTAGACCACCACCCTCCGATACACCCCCCACAGTACCCCTGGTCCTGTCTAGCCCCGCTGGCCGGAGCCGGACTGACGACACGCGCCCCTGGCATGGTGCGTGGAACAGGAATGGACCGGAATGGGCTGGCGACGCGCACCACAGACCTGGTGCGGAGAGCAGGAACGAGCCGGACAGGGCTGACGACGCACCCCGTAGGCCTGGTGCGTGGAGGAGGAACGGGCCTTACCAGGCTGACTTCTCGCACCCCTGGCTTTGTGCGTGGAGGAGGAACGGGCCTTACCAGGCTGACTTCTCGCACCCCTGGCTTTGTGCGTGGAGGAGGAACGGGCCTTACCAGGCTGACTTCTCGCACCCCTGGCTTAGTGCGAGTGGCAGGAACAGGCCGGACCGGGCTGGCGACGCGCACCGTAGGTTTGGTGCGAGTGGCCGGAACAGGCCGGGTCGGGCTGGCGACGCGCACCGTAGACTTGGTGCGGGTGGCAGGAACAGGCCGGACCGGGCTGGCGACGCGCACCGTAGGTTTGGTGCGGGTGGCAGGAACAGGCCGGGCCGGGCTGGCGACGCACCCCGTAGGCTTTGTGCGTAGAGGAGGAACAGGCCGGGCTGGGCTGACGACGCACACCGTAGGTCTTGTGCGTGGAGCAGGAACAGGCCGGGCTGGGCTGGCGACACGCACCGTCCATTTGGTGCGAGGGGTCGTAACAGGCCGGACCGTACTGGGGACACACACCACTGGCTCTACCCCGGGAACTGGAACGGGCCGGACCGGACTGGTAATACACCCCAGTACCACTCGCCGTGCCTCTACATCTCCTCTCCCTACTTTGACCAGTGGCCCCCGTAACCTGGTGGCCTTTTGAATTCGCCCCTTCTCTGCCTCCGTCAGCCCCGTCGTCCATGCCCTGTGCCCCCCCCTAAAAAATTCTTGGGGGTGCCTCTCGTCCCTCCGACGCTGCTCCCACATCCAGGCTGCCGATTCCTGGACACGCTGCTTGGTCCTTTGATGGTGGGTTTTTCTGTCACGATCGTCTGGGTAAGGAGTAGTAGACCAAGGCGCAGCGTGTGAAATAAACATGACTTTATTTAATTAAAGTTCCTAAATATAAACAACACACGATTCATGAAGTCCACGGTTAAACATACCGTCACGGAACAAAAACCCACAACCACAAGGTGAAAACACACAGTATAAATATGGCTCCCAATCAGAGACAACGAGCCAACAGCTGACACTCGTTACCTCCGATCGGGAGTCACTCAATACAACAATCAACAACCTAGAAATAGACACAACAGAACTACCAACATTGAAATAAACACATAGCATGCACACACCCTGGCTCAACATAACGAGTCCCAGAACCAGGGTGTGACAGGTGCATGTGGCAAATAACATTTGATTTGAGTTCACAGTTAACTGTCTGAGTGAAAACAGACTAAACTGGCTGAGTGAAAACAGACTAAACTGTCTGAGTGAAAACAGACTAAACTGGCTGAGTGAAAACAGACTAAACTGGCTGAGTGAAAACAGACTAAACTGGCTGAGTGAAAACAGACTAAACTGGCTGAGTGAAAACAGACTAAACTGTCTGAGTGAAAACAGACTAAACTGGCTGAGTGAAAACAGACTAAACTGGCTGAGTGAAAACAGACTAAACTGGCTGAGTGAAAACAGACTAAACTGGCTGAGTGAAAACAGACTAAACTGGCTGAGTGAAAACAGACTAAACTGGCTGAGTGAAAACAGACTAAACTGTCTGAGTGAAAACAGACTAAACTGGCTGAGTGAAAACAGACTAAACTGGCGTGACTGTCTTATGTGACCCTCACCATCCTCAAAGCCAGCCTCTGCTGTTGTTAATCTTTTACTCTTGGTTCTCCCGGTGATGGTGTGAAGCTAGCTGTGCGCTGCATGATACTGAGTGACTGTTCACTGCATGCTGACATGGAAATTAAAATGAACAAGGTGTTCCACTCAAAAATGGTCAGAAATCTGACTGTATTTCTGTGTTTCATTGACAGATACCAGCCAGTCTGATGTTGCCATGGCGAACACGGCGGGCCCTGGTCCTCGCAGGATGAAGGCCGTCTTTGATTACGACCCTCGAGAGAGTTCTCCCAATGCTGACATCGAGGTGAGCACCATGCTATTCCCTGTAACAAAGGCTTGTGTTTCTGAATCATCCTGACAGTAAAGTTATAATCCTATTGTAATCATGGTCTTCTCTATGGCCCTCTGCAGGTTGAGCTGACCTTCAGTGCCGGGGATATCATCTATGTGTTTGGTGACATGGACGATGATGGGTTCTTCTATGTAAGTGTACCCAAAGAAAACAATACATCTATCTCTCTCTCTCTTTCTCTCTCTCTCTCTCTCTCTCTCTCTCTCTCTCTCTCTCTCTCTCTCTCTCTCTCTCTCTCTCTCTCTCTCTCTCTCTCTCTCTCTCTCTCTCTTTCTCTCTCTCTCTCTTTCTCTCCCTCTCTCTTTCTCTCTCTCTCTCTCGCTCTCTCTCTCTCTCTCTCTCTCTCTCCTCTGTCTGTCTGTCTGTCTGTCTGTCTGTCTGTCTGTCTGTCTCTGTCTCGCGTGTGCAAACAAACACTCTGAGAAGGCTGTAAGTCTTTTTGAAAGTGTTTTAACACCTTAAAGATGTGACCATGTGAATGACGAGGACATGTTGTTGTTGTTGTTGTTGTTGTTGTTGATGTAGTAATGCAGGTGTAGTTGATAGACAGACAGGCTCGCAGACTAAGGTCAAAGGTTATACATGTGTGATGTGGGTGTCTAATGTTTATGCTTTCCAGGGTGACCTGAACGGACACAAAGGCCTGGTCCCATCTAACTTCCTGCAGGCTGCCCCAGAGGCTGCTGGGAAAGCCCCACCATTTGACCCCCAGCCTCCGCCTGTAGCCGAGCCCAGGACAGAATCACAGGTACAGTCAGCACGCTGTTCACCTAGGACACTGTGGACACAGATGTATGACGGCCTAGTAGCCAAAACATTTGTGGCTCAAAGCCTGATGGGAAAAAAGTTCAAATCTCTTTTTAGAATTTGGAACACCCACACAGCATTTCTTTTTTATTTTAGCAGGTAAGTTGACTGAGAACACTTTCTCATTTACAGCAACGACCTGGGGAATAATTACAGGGGAGAGGAATGTGCCAATTGGAAACGATTAAGTGGCCATATTGGGAATTTAGCCAGGACACCGGGGTTAACACCCCTACTCTTACGATAAGTGCCACGGGATCTTTAGTGACCACAGAGAGTCAGGACACCCGTTTAACGTCCCATCCGAAAGGCGGCATCCTACACAGGGCAATGTCCCCAATCACTGCCCTGGGGAATTGGGATATTATTATTATTTTTAGACCAGAGGAAAGAGTGTCTAATACTGGTCATCCAACACCACTTCCAGCAGCATCTGGTCTCCCATCCAGGGACCGACCAGGACCAACCCTGCTTAGCTTCAGAGGCAAGCCAGCATCGGGATGCAGGGTCGTATGCTGCTGGCCATTTGATGTTGCAGAAGACTGACAATATTTCTATGCCGTTTTTTATCGACCATTTTCCTTTTTATGTTGTTTTATTTGTCATATCTCTGTCACCTTATGTCTTTGTCTTTTGGTTAAGTCTCTATCATTTCTGTTTTTACATTGATTTTTTTTTCTCCTTCTGTTTCCTGCATGGCCTTTTACAGAAGCAAAAACGAACTGTGCACTTTAAGACTTGAGCGTAAGTGTCACCGAGGGGATAACACCCTCCCAGCTGAGTGCTAGTAACTACTAACTAGTAACTAGTAACTAGTAACCAGTAACAAGTGACCCTACCCCCTCCACCCTGTGTTACTCTTCATCCTCATGTGAGCCTTACCAGTACTAGTCTCCTCAGATACGTAGCCTCCTGTCCATGTTCACAAGATCAGGCCCATGGTGGCGTGCTGACGATGGGCTGAGATTTCTGAACAACGGGGTATCCTCTGCTTACCCCACCCAACCGTTCTCCTGTATCCCTGCAATTTTAGCTTTAGCCAACTATTTACGCTGAGAGTTAAATGTTCCCTCTGTTACGTTAGTTCAATCAGTTCATGTACAATCTACATAACTGACTCTTAGTAGGATTGTTGTTGATAGAATGTTACTTAACAGTTGTAGTTGATAGACAGGTTCAGTAGAATCCTGAATACTTTAAGAATAAAGAAAGTGTTGTATTCTTATACTCTGTTTCCGTGGTTTCCCTCCCCAAGGTGAGACTGAGCATGTTCCCAGAGGAGGTTCCACATCCACCCCAACACACAGGGCTGACTGGCCCAGTCCACACACATCCACCCCTACACACAGGGCTGACTGGCCCAGTCCACACACATCCACCCCAACACACAGGGCTGACTGGCCCAGTCCACACACATCCACCCCTACACACAGGGCTGACTGGCCCAGTCCACACACATCCACCCCTACACACAGGGCTGACTGGCCCAGTCCACACACATCCACCCCTACACACAGGGCTGACTGGCCCAGTCCACACACATCCACCCCTACACACAGGGCTGACTGGCCCAGTCCACACACATCCACCCCTACACACAGGGCTGACTGGCCCAGTCCACACACATCCACCCCTACACACAGAGCTGACTGGCCCAGTCCACCAACACCACCTACACCTGGTTCCATCCGCAGCAGCAGCCATGATGGAGCCCTCCTCCATGGACCCAGCCCCAGCCCCAAGGCAAGCCAGCCTCAGCACCTCTCCGCCCCACGTCCCAGCAGAAAGCCACTCACAGACAGACAAAACAGACGCCTCCCCACCAGGCAAGAAAAAGAAAGGTTTCTTCTCCAAAGGGAAGAAGCTTTTCAAAAAGCTGGGATCCAGCAAGAAGGATTGAAACTTAGGACATTTACCGCTCATTGCTCGTTTTTATTGAAAGCACTTTTACATATTTGTTATCAGTCTTGGTTGTCTTGGTCTATGTCAGGGTTCTTCAATTCCGGTCCTGGAGGGCCGAAACACCTCTGTTTTTCATCCTCTCCTTCTAATCAGGGGCTAATTCAGACCTGGGACACCAGGTGAGTGCAATTAACTACCAGGTAGAAATAAAAAAACAGAAGTGTTTCGGCCCTCCAGGACCGGAATTGAAGAACCCTGGTCTACGTTGTTAGTTTAGCTGCAATATTCAGTAACTATGGATACACTAACATATATATACAGCTAAATACACCTCTTCAATATAATACTACTAGACCAGCTGGCAATATGTGGAGCATATTTTGTCTGTAAAAGAAATGGCACCCTATTCCCTATATAATGCACTACTTTGGGGAAAAAAGGGTGCCATTTCAGATGCAGCCGTTGTCGTATGACGGCGTCACTGAGAGCGTGTTAATAAGCACGTTTAAGTATTTCAGCTCCTAACCTGTGCTGTGCTTACAGGCTTTCTCTGAACACACACACACTGATTCTCTGATAACCATTAGTAGTCTGCGAGGGTTTGTACTTGACCTTCATCTGGCAGTATTATCTGGAAGGATATGATCTGATACTGATGCAGATATGATGTTAAAATGGTTGCTCTAGACTTTCAATTCGTTGGCTTGGAAGAGGCCCTTGCACCATGCCCAGGTTATGGTCCAACCACTGTCGGTTAAACTGAGAGGATGGAAGAGAGTCTCTTTAATCTGTCGACTGTTGTTTCTCAACCCTGTCACTTTTCAGATCGATCTGGAATGTATTCTAACATGGATGTATTTTAACATCAGTCTGGTCAGTGAGTCCCCCTCTGTCTCATATCAAAAGTATTGTAACTAGCTAACTATAATTGTTTTTTTTTATGCTAATTGTAGACTTTGAGTCTTTCACCCATTATGAAGATTTCACTACACAGTATAGCTGAATGGAAGTTGTTCCTTTAACAACAACTGCGTCCATTTCATTCCATTTCAAACATTTATTTTAGAGGCTGATCTCTGTTGAAGTTTGGTATGTGTTGTATATTTCAGTGTGTGTTATGTGATGAGTGTGAGGACGGACGGGCCTTTATGGTCTTCTGAAGTGTGTAGAGACTGAAACCTGTCCATGCCTTGAAACAGAACACATACTCATAACTGTGTGTGTGTGTGTGTGTGTGTGTGTGTGTGTGTGTGTGTGTGTGTGTGTGTGTGTGTAAGCGTGTGCGTGTATGTGTGTGTGGCCATTTCCTGTCACTGTACTGTCATGGTAGAGTGTCTTCGTCTAGGGGTCCTTGTTCCTCTGTCTGTCTCATTTTTGATTTAGTTGTTTGTTTTAGGAGTGTTGTAAGGACAATGAACAAGACTAGCGATTCTTACTCATTTAGAAGTATTCATTGTACAGTCGGGGTCAAAGGTTTTGAGAATGACACAAGTATTGGTCTTCACAAAGTTCCGCGGCTTCAGTGTTATGAGATATTTTTGTCAGATGTTACTATGGTAATACTGAAGTATAATTACAAGCATTCCATAAGTGTCAAAGGCTTTTATTTGACAATTACATTAAGTTTATGCAAAAGAGTCAATATTTGCAGTGTTGACCCTTCTTTTTCAAGACCTCTGCAATCCGCCCTGGCATGCTGTCAATTAACTTCTGGGCCACATCCTGACTGATGGTAGCCCATTCTTGCATAATCAAGGCTTGGAGTTTGTCAGAATGTGTGGGTTTTTGTTTGTCCACCCGCCTCTTGAGGATCGACCACAAGTTCTCAATGGGATTAAGGTCTGGGGAGTTTCCTGGCCATGGACCCAAAATGTCGATGTTTTGTTCCCCGAGCCACTTAGTTATCACTTTTGCCTTATGGCAAGGTGCTCCATCATGCTGGAAAAGGCATTGGTTGTCACCAAACTGTTCTTGGATGGTTGGGAGAAGTTGCTCTCGGAGGATGTGTTGGTACCATTCTTTATTCATGGCTGTGTTCTTAGGCAAAATTGTGAGTGAGTCCACTCCCTTGGCTGAGAAGCAACCCCACACATGAATGGTCTCAGGATGCTTTACTGTTGGCATGACACAGGACTGATGGTAGCGCTCACCTTGTCTTCTCCGAACAAGGTGTTTTCCGGATGCCCCAAACAATCGGAAAGGGGATTCATCAGAGAAAATGACTTTACCCCAGTCCTCAGCAGTCCAATCCCTGTACCTTTTGCAGAATATCAGTCTGTTCCTGATGTTTTTCCTGGAGATAAGTGGCTTCTTTGCTGCCCTTCTTGACACCAGGCCATCCTCCAAAAGTCTTTGCCTCACTGTGCGTGCAGATGCACTCACACCTGCCTGCTGCCATTCCTGAGCAAGCTCTGCACTGGTGGTGCCCCGATCCCGCAGCTGAATCAACTTTAGGAGACGGTCCTGGCGCTTGCTGGACTTTCTTGGGAGCCCTGATGCCTTCTTCACAACAATTGAACCTCTCTCCTTGAAGTTCTTGATGATCCGATAAATGGTTGATTTAGGTGCAATCTTACTAGCAGCAATATCCTTGCTTGTGAAGCCCTTTTTGTCCAAAGCAATGATGACGGCACGTGTTTCCTTGCAGGTAAACATGGTTAACAGAGGAAGAACAATGATTTCAAGCACCACCCTCCTTTTAAAGCTTCCAGTCTGTTATTCTAACTCAATCAGCATGACAGAGTGATCTCCAGCCTTGTCCTCGTCAACACTCTCACCTGTGTTAACGAGAGAATCACTGACATGATGGCAGCTGGTCCTTTTGTGGCAGAGCTGAATGCAGTGGAAATGTTTTTTGGGGATTAAGTTCATTTTCATGGCAAAGAGGGACTTTGCAATTAATTGCAATTCATCTGATCACTCTTCATGACATTCTGGAGTATATGCAAATTGCCATCATCAAAACTGAGGCAGCAGACTTTGTGAAAATTAGTATTTGTGTCATTCTCAAAACGTTTGACCAGGACTGTATGCTACCATGGTTATCCACCCAACCCATATACATTAGCTGCATTGTAAGTTAGTTTGATCCCACCGTTCCATCTGGTATAATATGCAGTAATAGCTTTCTGAAGGTGTCCAAATGATAGATACTGTTAGTAAGTTTGATACGTTGGTTTTTATTAGTTTATTTTAGTTGTGTTGAATACAGGGCTGGAGATACATTTTAATAATTTCTCAGGTGAAACTAGTTTTAGTCACTCAGCTCTGTCTGTGTCGGGACACCTGTCTCACTTAAGAGTCGAACCGCGGAGGAAGATTTTTTTGCCAAAACATTAGGTGCTTTGTCTCTTACCATAACGAGGAGAGACCAAGCAGCAAACACCAGGGACGTGTTCAGCGCGGCAAAATAAAGCTTAGAACAGAGATATGTTCTACCTGACAACAGCCCGGGTGTGGCATGTCTGTTCTATAGGCCACAGTTCCATCTGCAACATTCTGAACGATGCTTGCAACCCATTGGATTAGCCCCAGCAGAGGGCGGAGTCTACGCACACCTGACTCCAGACATTGGAGGAGGCAGATCTGGGTTCTTTGATGTTCTGAATGTTTGATTTAGTTTTTTTTAAAGTTGTATAGTTCTATCAGTGTTATCAATTAAAAAATGGGGAAAAGCGAATAGCAGAACGAACATGCCAAGTATGAAGGAAGGGTTGATGAGGAGGAGGAGGAGGAGGAGGAGGAGGAGGAGCACCACTTGAGCTGGCCTTGAATAATCCTGGATAGAAGCAGGAATGATGAGGTAGCAGTAGTGTACTGTACAGTGAGGGGAAAAAAGTATTTGATCCCCTGTTGATTTTGTACATTTGCCCACTGACAAAGACATGATCAGTCTATAATTTTAATGGTAGGTTTATTTGAACAGTGAGAGACAGAATAACAACAACAAAATCCAGAGAAACGCATGTCAAAAATGTTATGAATTGATTTGCATTTTAATGAGGGAAATAAGTATTTGACCCCTCTGCAAAACATGACTTAGTACTTGGTGGCAAAACCCTTGTTGGCAATCACAGAGGTCAGACGTTTCTTGTAGTTGGCCACCAGGTTTGCACACATCTCAGGAGGGATTTTGTCCCACTCCTCTTTGCAGATCTTCTCCAAGTCATTAAGGTTTCGAGGCTGATGTTTGGCAACTCGAACCTTCAGCTCCCTCCACAGATCTTCAATGGGATTAAGGTCTGGAGACTGGCTAGGCCACTCCAGGACCTTAATGTGCTTCTTCTTGAGCCACTCCTTTGTTGCCTTGGCCGTGTGTTTTGGGTCATTGTCATGCTGGAATACCCATCCATGACCCATTTTCAATGCCCTGGCTGAGGGAAGGAGGTTCTCACCCAAGATTTGACGGTACATGGCCCCGTCCATCGTCCCTTTGATGCGGTGAAGTTGTCCTGTCCCCTTAGCAGAAAAACACCCCCAAAGCATAATGTTTCCACCTCCATGTTTGACGGTGGGGATGGTGTTCTTGGGGTCATAGGCAGCATTCCTCCTCCAAACACGGCGAGTTGAGTTGATGCCAAAGAGCTCGATTTTGGTCTCATCTGACCACAACACTTTCACCCAGTTCTCCTCTGAATCATTCAGATGTTCATTGGCAAACTTCAGACGGCCCTGTATATGTGCTTTCTTGAGCAGGGGGACCTTTCAGGCGCTGCAGGATTTCAGTCCTTCACGGCGTAGTGTGTTACCAATTGTTTTCTTGGTGACTATGGTCCCAGCTGCCTTGAGATCATTGACAAGATCCTCCCGTGTAGTTCTGTGCTGATTCCTCACCGTTCTCATGATCATTGCAACTCCATGAGGTGAGATCTTGCATGGAGCCCCAGGCCGAGGGAGATTGACAGTTCTTTTGTGTTTCTTCCATTTGCGAATAATCGCACCAACTGTCACCTTCTCACCAAGCTGCTTGGCGATGGTCTTGTAGCCCATTCCAGCCTT